AACCACTCGCATTCCAAGTCATAGACCCTTTTGCAATGAGCCGGCGATATAGTTTGAATCACCGTTGCTGTTTATGACATAGTCTTATCATATGTGCATATACATATAATATATATATTTTTTAACAGGAAACAGAAACGGCACTTCTTTAACGATCCCTTCCTAGTGGTTATTAATCCAAAATGTTATAAGCACGTATTGCGTTAGGCAAATATAAAAAAATTAATACATTAAACAAAAGAAACATAAAATAACAATCAGCGAAGCCACGATAGGAGTAAAATACATCTCGAATTATGCTAATCGACTATCAAAACAAAAGCTGCAATTAAACCACACACTCGGCTGACTTTCACTGCGAATCTTCGAACAATCGTCGGCCGTTTCAGTGTTTCTCTTTTTGTATTATATGCAAATTGATCTAACGCATCTCGAGCCCAACTGGCGACCACTCCGAAGTGGGTTTGCGTCCGACGCCTTTGTCCATATATTTGCTCTGTATATTTGGTTTCGCTATAAGCAGCTGTCGGCGGTGACAATGGACGGGCGGCCATCAGGAGATCAGGATCGTGATCCTGAGTTCCTGTCAGCTGTGTGGCGCGTGTTGAGCCTTGTTCGCCCGATCGCCGAGGGGGTGGTCCCGCCAGGGAAAAGGGGGTTGAGTGACAGCTAGCACAGCGACAACAAGGCTACCTTTGGCGGACCGCGAAGGGTCTGGAATTATACGCCCAACAAGTTGAAAAAAGCACACCCTTGCTAAGGGGTTTATTTTTAGGTGCATTCATAAACAGATATGAACTTTTTTAATAATTTTAAGTGTACATCATTTTTTAAAAATATGTCCAAAGTGTTTGTTAAATATAATTGCTTAAAATTCAACAAAATTTTCGTTATGAATAAAAAAGTTGTTAGTATTGAAAAAAATAAGTTTGTAAATAAAAAGGAAATATAAAAGGTAAGTTTTGTAAATTTTAAATGAAAAGAAATATGTAAGAAAATTTCCGAGTTCCAGTTTTCCAGAAAAGCTCTAAACAGACCTTTAGGTATATAAGTTTGTTTTTTTAATTTGATCACAGTTTTGTTTGCTTCCTTTTGAAAAAGGCACCTTTCTCCTCACCCTCGAGATTGGCAAATACCTTCGACACATGAAAGGGTATTGTCGAACCCGTTTAATTGGCTTTAAAGTGCTCAGAATAGGATGGGCATGTCTGCCAACATGGACACGCATGCGCAAAGGAGCGGCGTCGACGCCATGAGACCTTCACCCAACCCGTCATCCTCCTCCTTCTCCCTGCTTTTCCACATAAATAAACGAAATGTGCCTCGAATGGAGAATCAGACTGTCGATCGGGAAGAACGAAGACACTTGTGTCTCTGGTCGGGGGCTCCAAGAAATGTTTGCTCATTTCCGCACTCAATTAAAATGGTCGGGACACAAATCTATCTGTGAGTTTGCTTTAAAAACTCAACAACAACATGAACCACGAAGGCGACGTTGACATGGGGCAGCATTTTACTGGCTCTGCCTATAAATAGAATCATTTCTCTGTTTTTCAGGGTATATGCATGTATGTATGTACATGTGGAATGGAACGGGTGTGGGTGCGGGATGTGGTAGGAGGACAGCTGTGGGAATTGTAAGAATTGGTGGTGACATTTGCAGTTGCGACTGCGCTCTCTTTTTGTTTGGTTCACGTTCAAGTCTGCCCTCGAGCCTCCTCTCCCTTTGAAAACAAATATTATTGTAATACAGAAATATAGTAGGACAGTTTATGGCCTAGAAACCCTAGACTCCAAATTACTGTCTAGTTGCATGTTCGAGAAACCCCAAACTTTTCTAGGCTATTGGAACCATAAGTTAACTAGTTGGTTTAATATCTTTCTAAAACCTTATTTATCAGCAAAAAACGTAGCAAAATATAAGTGGTTATTATATACATATATGAGTAAAATAATATGTAATTATATACATATGTAGATAACAAGATTATTCAAAGCTTAAATATAGAGCTTTAAAATGCAAATGCTTTAAGCATTTGTGACCATCCAAAATCATATTGCCCTTAGCTAGGGTATAATCACTTCCGTCTTTGCTAATCGATTGCTTAGTTGCACCACCGACGAATAGGTAATCGACTTTAATGGACAAGAATTTGCCAATGTCAAACGAACAAGTGCAAGTCAACAAAAAATAAAGGGGGACAGAAAATTCGCCTTTACAGGTGAGAGCACTCACAATCTAGCGTTCCAATGGGTTTCCCCCTGTTTTCTTAAGTCCAATCCTCTGGAGATAGTGGCGACTTACCAGAGGACTTCTGCAGATCTCGGATGGCGATTGTTACTGGTTACTGAGGATTAGATTTCCGGGGACGCGCACAGACATTGAGGAAGGAGCCACCCACTTAGAATCGATCTCCTCCGTGGCCTTTGGTCCGGGTTTTCTCGAGCAATTGTCTTGCGTGGAGCGCAGAATGCCCAGGAATTTAGAACTTAAAATTTGATCACCACGCGCGACTCCCGAAAAAAATGTAAAAATCTGAAGTATTTCCAGCTGGGTGTTGTGTTTGCCCGAGTTTCAATTGCTCGGTTTTGAACTCAACTCGACGATCGAGCGGCGACGAGATCTTTGCGTTTTGGATCGCGAACCGTCGCGTTGGGAAGTTGAATCGAAATAAAACCGCTTTTCAACAAACAAACCACTTTTGTTTAATTTCAAAAGGCAACGTATGAGAGAGCGCAGAGAGAGTCTCTATCGCGCGCGCAACAGCTGACCGATAGAGGTGCAAGAAATGGCGATATATCGATATAATCGCTGTCTTGAATTTTTGAAAACATCGATTTTCTTTTAAAGCAATCGGTGTTTGAATAACTGTCATTCAATTAAAAGTTGCCTATTATTTGTTTGGTTAAATTAACCAGCATTTTATCTTCAAAACAGAAAACTAAAGTTCTTTTCGATTTTTACATAATAATCTGTAAAAATATTAATTTCCAACCAATTTTAATATTTATTTCCCTGTAGTTTTTTATAGCTTTGCAGTTACCAGCTCATATACTCGTGCTTCTAACTCTTAACCGCTTTGGAAGACGATCAATCCCCTGCAGTAGTTTGACCCTGGTTGGAATGAGTTTGTGCTATCTGACCCTACTGATTTTCTCCATCATACAGTTTCCAGGCGCTGCCTTGATTGATGCGAACTTTTACTAATCGTTAACTTTTACTAATAACTACACTTATTAAATCGAAGAATTTGCATAGAATATTGAAATTCCGGAAGGGAGAAGATACATTGAGAAATTCAAATATTAAACTCAGAAAATAGGTGCAGTTTTCGGTGCCTACTTTTGGGCTACTTTAAGTATATCAGCCAAGCAGAAAATACGAAATAACATACAAATTTGTTTGTTTTTTTGTTTAATTTTTAACTCAGAATAAAGTGTACCATTTTAGAGACGACAGACTGGCAACAGTTAATTTCTACGTAAGCCACTGCTGCCATTAAAAATGCTACAGACTTTATAATGGTTATGTTTATTCTATACAGACTAAATATAAAACAGTCAATATTTTTTTGCAGTTAAATGATATTGAGCAAGGTGGCTTGACTGTATTTCTCCATCTCTGCATCAGCCACACTCCCGGGAAAGGAACCGTCTTAGTGTTCTACAACCTGCACCCCAGAACTATAGAGCAGGAAAAATACTCTGCACATAGCGTCTGCCCTGTTCTAGTGGGTTCAAAATGGGGTGGGTTACCTAATGAATAGTGAACTCATTAGCTAGTTTTCTGTCTATTACTTAAACAGTTACCACCACTTGGATCTATTCGGCGGACCAAATGTTCCGCAAACTCTGCACCCTGCAAGCTGATGCCCCATCTGAAAAATTTGATGAATTAAACTGACCAAAGAAAGAGTTGAGGATGAAGGGGACCTCTTGGTATCGTATGATTTTTCGCCTTTGATTTTGCCCACTTATAACGGGACTGCGCCACGCTTACTAATTGAGTTCAATTGAGAGAGTTATTATAGTCGTTGCTCGTAGGGTATAGGGGAGTACTGTATTTTTTTTTTAATATTCTGGAGAAATTTTGTAAACGAGAACTTAATGTTTGCGTTACAGACTTTTAAAAAAGTTTATGTTAAGAAAGTTTCAAACTTGCCTTGCTACACTTAGAGAGATATAATTACCTAAGGAAATAGGGTTAATGCCCTAAAGTGTTTGTTCGTATGTATGCCTTACTCTTGACAACAATCTGACTCAACGAATTTTGCAAATGCATAGACTAAATTCCCAACATGAATCATGGCATGTTTCCGGTTTTAGTCGACTTATAAGAAAAGGCCACTGTTTAAATGTAATATTTATTATAATTTTTAAAAATAGAAAATAACACTTCTGAAAGTGTAGTTAAGAGATGTCAACAAAAAAGTTATTTTAAAAGATATAACTAAACGAACTATTTATATTAAAAAGGTTGACTACTTTCTCTTTAGCTTCCTTAAATGTTCAGGTCAGATAATAAAAAGCAATTACTGGGCATCCCATAGTCGAAACCCTCTATCCCATGGTGTCTTTTTGTTTTTTGTGAGATTCGCTTAATTGTCTGTCGGAGCGCGGCTCAATTGGAAAAGGAGAGAGCGCCAGACCTTTTGAGTGATCGCCTGATTGACGAATGGCCATATAATGTAGCGTTCGAATTTCCATTTACCTGGCTTCGAGCGGCCGTGCAAATGGAAATTGGTAGATGGCTTTCCTGCCAACAATTGGGATCGCAGTGTTAGTTGTTAACAACACGACTAGGGGTGGCTTTGTCCTAGTCTCAGTTCCAGTCCCCCTCTATCCCCTCTCCTGGAGTGGCTGGAAGTGTAATCGTGGTATTAGAGAGCCGCTCTCCCGATTCCACAGAGAGTGCGCATGCAGCCGGCATTTGTTTGCCGTTCTTCTGTTTCGCCAACATAAACATACTCGGATATATCCGAGTACCAGAGCGGGTCGGGTATACACACAGCCATCACACCATAAGCGTTTGTTGGCCCTGTCGGTCTGGTCTCTGAGCTATTGCACTGAGCATTTGGCTTTGGTGAAATGTTGTTTAGTGCTTAGTTCGGTTCAATTGGTCTAAGGAGACGCATTGTTGGCGCAGTGCCGCTGCCGGTTTTTTCGATACTCGGTACCACTTCCTGTCAGGCCAAAAATTTTGGCAACACGTGTTGGTCGATAATTGCCGGAACGGAGAATTATACGCCGGTACTCTCTAACTGTCTCTCGCTCTAACGGATTCTCCACCGCCGGGAGCAAAGTACACGTCAACGCAGCGGAGAGTCTCGATTTCGGCACTCTTTTTCTTGGGAACTGCCGAGTGTGGTTTTGTGTGTGTCGACATCACGAGATAGTGCCAAAAAGCACAGCGGTTCCGATTTAGTGATTCATTGTACCGGCGGCACTCGAGGAAGTCAGCTGCGCGTAGACATCTGGTATTCAAATTCGCAAATTCGGAAAACGGGGAGGAAAAAACTCCGCCATGGGCTACGATGAGGCCATCGTGCATCTGGGCGAATTCGGACGCTACCAGAAGATCATCTACTTCCTCATCTGTCTGACCTCCATTCCAGTGGCCTTTCACAAGCTGGCGGGGCCGTTCCTGCTGGCCAAACCCGACTTTCGATGTGCCCTGCCCTTCGAGAACGGGAGTAGCTATGATTTGCCACCCCACCTGTGGAACCTCTCGTATCCGCAGGACGAGGTGTGCGCCTACTACGATGTGGAGTACTCGGAGGAGTACCTAAATGGCAGCCTGCCCCGGGGCAGCAACGCAACCAAGAGCTGTTCCCGCTACGTTTACGACCAGAGCAAGTACCTGAATAGCGCCCTAACCGAATGGAACTTGGTCTGTGGCAAACAGTTTATGACCGCCATCAGTGAGAACGTTTTCATGTTCGGCGTGCTCCTGGGGAGCATTGTGTTCGGACAACTGAGTGACAAGTACGGGCGCAAGCCCATTCTCTTCGCCTCGCTGGTCATCCAGGTGTTCTTCGGAGTGGTGGCTGGACTGGCTCCGGAGTACTTCACCTACACGCTGGCGCGACTGATGGTGGGTACCACTACGTCAGGGGTTTTCCTGGTGGCCTACGTGATCGCCATGGAGATGGTGGGGCCCGACAAGCGCCTCTACGCCGGCATCTTCGTGATGATGTTCTTCTCCGTGGGATTCATGCTGACTGCGCTGTTCGCTTACTTTGTGCACGACTGGCGTTGGCTGCAGATTGCCCTCACACTGCCGGGACTCCTCTTCCTGTCCTACTACTGGATCATTCCGGAATCGGCCCGCTGGCTGCTCTCGAAGGGTCGGAAAGAGTGCGCCATAGCCAACATGCAGAAGGCAGCGCGTTTCAACAAACTGGAAATCAGCAATGAGACTTTGAGTGACCTACTGGATGAGGGCGAAACGGCCGAGGACAAGGCCAAGCAGAAGCTGGGGGATCAGGATCAGGATCGGGATCGGGATGAGAGTCCTCCGCCCTCCGTGTGGGATCTGTTCTGCTACCCCAATCTGCGTCGAAAGACGCTCCTCATCTTCTTTGACTGGCTGGTGACCAGCGGTGTGTACTACGGACTCTCTTGGAACACCAACAATCTGGGTGGGCATCACCTTTTGAATTTCGTGATCTCCGGCGCCGTGGAGATACCAGCCTACATCTTCCTGCTGCTCACCCTTAACCGCTGGGGCAGGCGATCGATCTTGTGCGGCACCTTGGTTCTAGCGGGACTCAGTCTGCTGGCCACCGTCATCATTCCGGGGAAGATGCACACGCTCATTGTGACCTGCGCCATGCTGGGCAAGCTAGCCATCACCGCCTCCTACGGCACCGTTTACCTTTTCTCCGCCGAGCAGTTCCCGACAGTGGTGAGAACCGTGGGCATGGGCGCCGCCTCGATGGTGGCCCGCATCAGCGGCATGCTGGTACCCTACCTCAACTTTTTGTCCACCATTTGGCAACCGTTGCCGCTGCTCCTCTGCGGCTCGTTCTCGCTGGCCGCCGGACTGCTGACCCTTCTGCTGCCGGAGACGCACAACAAGCCCATGCTGGAAACCATTGCGGATGGCGAATGCTTTGGACGCAAGACCAAGGGGGATGTCTACCTGGAAGCGGGCCAGCAACAGCTACGGACACCAGAGTCGCAGCCGCTGAACGGATCGGCTGACTCGAATGGGGTCAAGACCAACGGCCACAAGTTCTAGGAAATCTCATGGCTAACCCACTACTTTTTTCAGAAACTAACGAACTTTGAGACTAGTGGTTACAGGGCATCTAGAAATCGGCCAGGCCAATGGCCGGGCATTTACCGTAAAAGTGTAGACCAAGTATTATATAATTTCTGAAATCTCAAACGCAACCAAAAAAGAGAAGACAACAAGATAAAAGAAAAGAAAAGAATGGGTAGCATCAATCATATCCACGTTAGCATTTAGCCAGGGAACAGGGTAAGATTGACAAGAATAAGGGATGGTTTTCCCTGGGAAATCACCTGAAAAAGTATTGAAAACTTTTTTTCTTACCCTTGTCGCTGGATAACTTATTCCTTAATCTATTTAACTATAATTTACCAATTACATTTATGAGTGTATTTCATGGAGATGATTTCGTAATAAAATGTGTGTTTTTCCGAGAGATTAAATCTATTTCCTCGCCTCGTTATTGACCCCTCATAAACCCGGACTGGCCGAACTTAAAACGTGTTTCCGCTGTGTTTATTTTCGTAGCCGTGTCTTATCAGCCACCAAGACACGAGACTGTCGATGAAAAGTGGACCGCTCTGAATTCTTAATCACGAGATTACCATGTGCCCAGCTACAATGGCAGAAATAACATGGAATGCGATTTATTATCATACGATTCTCGGGGCAAATGCATATGATTTGCATAACTCACATCTCGCCGAGCACTTTGCACTTGATCTTGTTACGTGGCTGACCGGAAAGTGGGTCGTCTATTTCCGATGGACTATTTTAGAGTGCACTGCAACATGTTCTCGGAATATTTCAATTAATATTGAAACAAGCTTGCAAGTGTTTGAGATAGCAAACGCAAATACAGCAAAGAGCAGTCAACAAAAAAGAGAGTCCCACATTGATTAGAGCAGCAGTGTTTAAAAGAGCGTTTATTGAATATATACATGCACCAAACATAAATACGTATACAGGGTACACGTATAGTTTTATACTGACGCGGTCAAAACATTGTCAACTAATTTTTTGGGGTATATGTAGAACATGGAATTCGTTTGAATTGTTGAATTATTTTTGTATGTTAGTACAATCGAATAGGAAGAATTTGACCTTAATCAGTTTATTTTAAAATGCTTAAAGCTTCAATATAATATTTATAAGTGCTAACCCGAAACACTACAAATGTTGAGCCACTTAAACGTTTTATCTAAAAGTATGCAACAATATATTTAAAGCAAAAAAGTCCGTTATATTCATTACGAAATCGTTGTTTTTGTTTTCACTGCATACATTCAAGTCAAAATTATAAAATCTATCGAAACATATATTAGCATAAAATATTTATTACTTTTATGACCTCGACTGTTAACTCTTCTATAAAATTCAAGAATTTATGACAGTTTGGAATTTGAAATCAGGCCAAAATGACATCTCTGGGCTCTTTCTTAGGTCGGGAGATGTTCATGCTGGCTCCAGTTGCTCGACATCGTATGATGTCCCAGTGATTGAAGCAGCTGCAACTCCCCCTTCATCCCTGTTTCGGAATGGAAACTATTGATACGGCGCTGATCGCTGATCAGTGAATTGGTCACAGGGTTGAACGGCCAACGGCTGCGGAGAGCTGTTCCATACGCACTCACACACTCACACACACACTGCCGGAATGATACCGCTCACACAGACAGAGAGATAGACTGTCGTATTGCGTTCCTCAGAACCCCCAGCGCTCTTTGTGTTTTTAGTCTGAGACTGAGACAGCTGGCGAGCGGTTGATCGCGCGCTCCGAGATCGATTCAGTACGAGATTCGTTTGGCTGGAGGCCGATGCAGCTGCAGCTGCAACTTGGTTCCGTTTCCAACCAGATTGTTGCACAATCGAACGGGTTCACGTTCACGTTCACCGGGCGTATACGCAACGCGCCGCGCTTATAAGTTAAGCATACGTCACGGAGCCGCGACCATTGAACTGCTGGCCAGTTATCGTACGACACTCGGCGGTTGACAACGCCAAATCACAGGTGTGAAAATGGGCTACGACGACGTCATCACCCACCTGGGTGAATTTGGACCCTACCAGAAACGCATCTACTATCTCCTCTGTCTGCCGGCCATTGTCTGCGCTTTCCACAAGCTGGCGGGGGTATTCCTTCTGGCGAAGCCAGACTTCCGATGTGCCCTGCCCTACGAGAACGGCAGCAGCTATGATTTGCCGCCCCACCTGTGGAACCTCTCGTATCCGCAGGACGAGGTGTGCGCCTACTACGATGTGGAGTACTCGGAGGAGTACCTAAATGGCAGCCTGCCCCGGAGCAGCAACGCAACCAAGAGCTGTTCCCGCTACGTTTACGACCAGAGCAAGTACCTCAACAGTGCCGTCACCGAGTGGGACATGGTGTGCAGCCGGAGTCTGCTGAGTGCCACCAGCGACTCACTCTTCATGCTGGGTGTGCTCCTGGGCAGCTTCATCTTTGGCCAGATGTCCGACAAGCTGGGACGCAAGCCCACCTTCTTCGCCTCGCTGGTGATCCAGCTGATCTTTGGCGTGCTGGCTGCCGTGGCTCCGGAGTACTTCAGCTACACCATTTCCCGCATGATCGTGGGCGCCACCACGTCCGGAGTCTTCCTGGTGGCCTATGTGATTGCCCTGGAGATGGTGGGCTCCTCGTACCGCCTCTTCGCCGGCGTGGCCATGCAAATGTTCTTCTCCGTGGGCTTTATGCTAACCGCCGGCTTCGCCTACTTCATCCACGACTGGCGCTGGCTGCAGATTGCCCTGACGCTGCCGGGACTGCTCTTCGTTTGCTACTACTGGATCATTCCGGAGTCGGCCCGCTGGCTTTTGCTCAAGGGTCGCAAGGACGAGGCCTTCGTGATCATCGAGAAGGCGGCCAAGGAGAACCGGGTTGAGATTCCCAGCGAGATCTACGAGCAGCTGGTGGACGAGGTGGCCGAGAAGAAGAAACAGGACGAACTGACGGCCTCCCAGCCGGCGGCCACCGTATTTGATCTGCTCCGGTTTCCCAATCTTCGCCGGAAAACCCTGTTGATCTTCTTCGATTGGTTTGTGAACAGCGGCGTGTACTACGGTCTGTCGTGGAACACTAACAACCTGGGCGGCAATCAACTGGTTAACTTTATGATCTCCGGTGCCGTTGAGATCCCCGGCTATGTGCTGCTCCTCTTCACCCTCAACCGCTGGGGTCGTCGCTCCATCCTGTGCGGCACCATGATGGTGGCCGGGGTCAGCCTGCTGGCCACCATCTTCGTGCCCGCGGACTTGAACTGGCTGATCATCGCCTGTGCCATGATAGGAAAGCTGGCCATCACCGCCTCCTATGGCACCATATACATCTTCTCGGCGGAACAGTTCCCGACGGTGGTTAGGAACGTGGGTCTGGGCGCCTCCTCTATGGTGGCACGAGTGGGCGGCATTCTGGCGCCATACCTCAAGTTGCTGGGCGAGATCTGGCGCCCATTGCCACTGATCATCTGCGGCGCCCTGTCGCTCACCGCCGGACTGCTGTCCCTGCTGCTGCCGGAAACGCTCAACAAACCCATGCCGGAGACCATCGAGGATGGGGAGAACTTCGGCAAGAAGACGGCGCCACAAGAGTCCGCCGAGGAGGGCGGCTCCCAAGAGCTGGCCGGGATGCTCAACGAAAAGTCCGGCTAATTGAAGATCGGATTGCCAGACTGCCATTTAGCTAAATCCACTCTGATGGCCGGCCTCAATTGGCTCGCACTCAGAGCACTTAAACGAATTTAAGCATTCTGCGCATTTCCATTCCTCCAGAGAGATTTCCACTCATTTCGATTTCCCAACTCTGTTTATTTTACCTTTACAAGCGATTTAATAAAAGACAAGTAAATATAAATGCGACTTGTGTCTGTTCAGTCTGTTCAACGAACTTTATGACAACTTTGTTTATTGAGGCGCGTCTCAGGCGCTGAAGCGATAATACTTCGCTCATTATAATAATTAGGTCTAAATGGTCGCAGCTGATAAGAAAAATGTCCAATCTCATTGAGTGCAAGCGCCTAATGCACTTGCTCGACAGCGAAAGTCTCGCCAGCATATGTTTCTATTTCAAATTGGTACTAATTATAGCCATCGAAGGTCCCTTCACAAATCAGTGGCAAAGATAAAACTGATTACTGTCAACGGTGTCATTGATAAGGAAATCAAAGCCCCGAACGCACATGAACACAGCCTCGTTTAGGTCACATTTCAGGGGACTGCTCAAGTATGTGAATCATTTTGATATCTATTCAAAAACTAGGAGGGACTTTCACATAGGGTTCAACGGCCTATAAGAAACTACCACATATATATTTTGCTGACATAGAAGTTCATAAAACAATAATAAATAGATAAAGTTTGATAAATCTATATTCTTCCCACACAAAAAAAAAATAATCTAATAAACATTAATAAAACATAAGGGGCAGTTTTGGCAAGTTATATATAATATTGATATAAAAACTCTTTTATAAATATCTTAATTGAATTGTTACAATTTTCGTGGTTAGAAAGCTATCAGTCTACCAGGGCTCTGATTTTGATTAAACTTATCTTGAGTGCCAGAAGTGGCGTGGTCGTGCCTACTTAATTTATCAAACCAAAAGAAAATTGCTATAAATAGAAAGCCGCAAACATAAACCAACAACTGCTTATAAATTAATATTAACAGTCGACTTATCTACCCTTGAACGACGGAATGATTTTATGTTGGAGGATATTGAATGATGAGCCTAAAGGTATACCCAAACATTCGGGAACAATACTCTCAAACTGTGGCGAGCATGTCAAACTGTCTTGGCGGGAGCTTTCACATTTTTCAAATAAAATGAAAGTTAAAATTGCTCACCAGCTGTGCAGCGTGGAAAAGGGGTTCAAATGGATCTGCCCTTCGGCACACAGACTCCGGAACTAGACGTACTGATTGTGGGAGCGGGTCTTTCGGGATTGGCCTCTGCCCTGAAAATCCTGTCCAAGGAGAGCACCCTGAAGGTGAGGATCATCGAGGCGAGCGATCGATTGGGGGGCCAGCTGGGTCAGAATGGCACCAGACTTGTGGATGGCGAGCAGAAGGATATGCTGGACTTCCTGACCCTAATCCAACTGTCACCCCGGCGCAGGAGAAGCGACAATGGCAGGCTGCGAAGGTGCTGGGATCTGGATCGAGGACTCACCGCTCTGCCGGCCAAATTCGAGCTGGGACGCTACATAGAAATGTTGGACCTGCGGATGCCCAAGTTTCGCTCCAAGCGGTTCAAGTGGGTTGAGGATTATCATCATTATTTTGTTTAGTACTTTGATTTAAATTTATTTATAAAGCCTTCGGGAACGAGTGTCCAACATGGAACAGCATATCTGCCACCATTTGTTCTTTAGCAAGTCGCGGAACTTTATGCTCAACCTGGTGGAACTGGTATGTGGTGTTCCTGCCAACGAAGTAGACTACGATGTCTTCATGTCCGTATGCAGTTCTTGTGGAGGCCTCAAAACGATTATTGACTTGTAAGGGGTAATATCATTCAAATGGGAAAAATTATAGAAACATTTTCATAAGAAGCAGGTATAAATTAGATTTATTCAAGGATACAAATTTGAACTCAAAACTGTTTTAAATAATAGCTATTTCAATATTTATAAATTTTTTCTTACTAGTTCTTTTTTTTTACAAGTAGCAAATTGTAAAGCTATTTATATAAAAAATTATAATTTAATTTTTTTATTTGTGTTTGTGGCATATTTAATGGTCTTAATTTTATGTGGTAATTGTTTCCAAGAACGAACAGCCAGAAATTAAGGTGCTCCCGTCTGCTCCCGTTTCCAATTTTTTTATAATTTTTACTAACTATTTTTCTTAACATATTATAGTATAAAAAGCCATTTACACGGCTTAGTTTTACGAAATAAATGTCTGAAAGCCGCTTTAACTTAAATTTAAAAATACTTATAAGGCTGTAATCAAAATATATAAGCATTTTTAAGTGCAAAACACATTCTGAAACAATGATTAAAAAGGGAGCACTTTTGCCTGCTACCCCAGTTCAGCATCTACGTTTGAAAAATGATTGATTACTACTTGATGTAGTTATATTGAATAGACCATGTATGTGTCAACCGATTACTACACCTCAGTGTACTCCCATTACAGGTTTACGTATTACCCTTAACTGATTTTGATTAATTAGCTCGTAACAATCCATAAGGTTTTATCTTTCCATCAAAATATAATTTATTTCCCACAATTAACTTTTTTTCCGCTCATAAAATTAATTGACCCCATTAAGTATTAATTACTCCTCTCATCTTTAGCTACTTCACCTACCCGAGCAGCTTCTATGAGGTATCCACGCAGCATTTGATCGAAAACATATTGGAGCAGATGCAGTTCATCACCATTACACTGAACTGTAGGGCCGTGAAAGTGGAGCACTTCAAGAACTATGTCCAGGTGACTGATGAGCTGGAGAAGAAGCACACGGCTCAGGCTGTGATCCTGGCCATACCCTGGAACAAGGTGCAGAAGCTGGAGTTTGAGCCACGCATTCCGAAGACCTTTGTGCCACCTTCGGCTACTAAAGCTGGCCAAAATCCCCGCCACCTGATCACCCAGTTCCACCTGCAATATGGCAAATCCATTTGGGCGGAGCTCGGTTACTCCGGCAACTTTCTCAGCTCCCAGCCGCTGGTCAGTGGACACGAGTGTCGAATGTCCACCCTCTGCGGCTACATGCTGCACTCGCCGGAGGAGCAGGACGATGTCCTGGAGGACGTGTTGGATCTGCTGGCGGCCCAGTTTGGCGAGGAAATGCGTCAGCCTCTGGAGTGGCAGAGCTCAACCGACGAGCTAAATACGGCGATGCACAAGCCGCAGACGAAGCCCTGGCATCGGATAATCTGGTCCAGTTCCTCGGCCGTCGGCACCAGCTATCGCAGCCTAATGGGTGGAGCGGTGCAGAGTGGTGTACGGGCAGCTGTCAACGCCCTCTTTGTGGTCCGACCCCAGGTGGTCAGCTGGAAGGACATGCTCGACGAGCGGCCAAAGGGTCCAAAGGAAGAGGTTCGAACCGGCAGACTCAGGGGTCTGCTTAGTCGCCTCAATCTCTACAACGTGACCTTCTACAGCTTCTTTGTTCTCGGACTCATATGGCTGCTGAACCTCGGCTACGCCAGGTCATCCGCATCCTAGAGGATAACACGTGTGTGCCCAATGAAATTAAAGTACCCGTTTTGAATGCGACCATAGTCTGGGCATAAGTCTGGGGGGAATAAGTAGTCGAGTGTCATGCCTTAAACACGCTCATTGAATTTAGTGAGTCTAGCAACGCCTCGATTTGTACGAAATCGTGCACAATTCTCAGCCCATTTCGTCGGCAATCATTCACTTAAGCTTCGCCAACGCCTGGCTGGCTAAATTGTGCTGTCTTTGTAAGTAGGAATTATCATCTCTAAGGTTGTCACTGATGCTGCGGGGTAAGGTATCGAGTGGAATTTTGTGGCACAATTAGGTAGTTTATAATTATTATTTGGGGGTTTCGTTCAAATAATAAGTCATGCAATATTGCAACCATTTACAACCTTTTAAAACGAAATATTTACAAGCATTGATTTCATTTTGATTTATCACTTTATCATCATTAAAGCTGGGCTTTTGTCATAGCACGTAAAGTGTACTTTAATGTTTAATAACTGTCAAAACTCAAATAAATATTAACTTACTTTTTTTTGTATCACTTTAAAAAAAGTTAAACAATTCAATGTGAATAATTTCAGCCATCTTTTATCTTATTTTATGGAAATGGAAAAAGCATTTTTGAAGAAGCAATCAACTTTAAATGAAATATAAACTTTATATTTATTTCATGAATTTTACTTTATTTTTTCCCTGTGCAGTTGCTGTGCCATTTCTAAATAAGGCTTGACAGGCTCCTTAAATTGCCATATATCTCTTTGTGACAATGCTTATTAAATTATAAAGAAATCTGGGCGATTATGTAGATGAGGTCGCTATTATTAGATTAGCACCCAGCGAATTGGCCGATGGCCTCAAAGCTCGGATAAAAGTAATCGGAAACGTAAGACTTGAAGGCACCACCCCATTGAAGAATTATAGATATCCGTAGTTTAATGCACGTGCCTTTGGAAAACAATGAAAGCCAAACGAAAATAATACTGGGTTCCAGCCCAATCCAGCGACAATCGAATTGTTAATGGCGGCACGCCCATGTGCATCACAACATGCGAACGGGCTACGAACATAAAGCTCTAATTGCGGCTAGAATACAGGTATTCTAGATAGATAGAACCGTTAGTACGGCCAACTCTCGAGCGAATTTCACAGATGAATAGAATGCGCCTGGGAAGCGACTAAAGCCGAACAAGTGAAAAAAACAACAATTGCGGCAAGGCTAAAATTAGAATGCGATAACAAAGAAATCCATAATTGGAATGTGCGGAATATATGCCACAAACCAATCCCATCCCATACCATCACCCTTCAATGTCAATCTCTATCTTTCGATTTTCCCGCAGGGTTAGTAGTTAAGATATTGACGTCGATCGGTTTATTGAGTTCAATTGATCTTGGCCAGAGTCGAGTACTCTCGATGCTCACCGATAACGCAGGTTAACCTTAATCGAATCACTTTATAAGGTCACTGCGTAGAAATCCGGTTGGGCTTTAATCATCCCGACTCAGAGTTCTGGTTTAAGTTGGTTCAAATACAAACTATCTATTACTAGATTCATTCACAAGTCAGCCAAAAGAATATCAAAATATGAGTAGGCAATTTTTCTACATTGTTCTCAGCAATCCCATTCAAAAATGCGCTATGCTCTTTGGGAATTTCGAATAGCGCAACTCGAAAATAAAAATGTAAACAACACCCGACTCTCGAATGTCGCCAAAGCAAATGGGAATATTGTAATGAAATTCAGAGACAACGGAATTAAACGGCCTGTAAATGTAAATATGTATATATATCATGAGGTTCGGGTAGCGCGAGTTTAATGGAATGTAAGGGATTTACTGAAGAGAGAGGGCAGGACCATATGTTCAAGTGTTCGGGAGTGTATTTAAATGTTTTTCTGTTGTTTGACGCATTTATAATGAGCTGTCCCAGCAAGAAACGTTCTTTGTTGGTATTTTTTTGGTCTGGATGTTAAAATTATAAGACACATTTTCAAAATATGCTAGATAATATGAGAAAATTAAAATTTTACATGAAAACACAACGCTTTTAATCGGTATCGAACCTCTGTCATCAGTCCATCAAGTTATAGTACACCAGAAATAAAGAAATATAATTAAATATAACCGCACATATAATTTCAATAAATTGCTCACCCGAAAAACGTAATTTGACTACGGTTCGTTGAAAAATGCAATTACATATTGAGTAATTTGTCTGAAAAAATTAAATACGTTTTAAATCTAATAATACGTTTATACTAATTCTGGAAATTTGACAACGGCAGCTGCCACAAATACACTCATCTTTGGTAATGGTTCTGTTTTCAAATTATTCAATTAGTACCCCAAGCATACTCAAAAAATCAGAGCTTTCCTTGGTTATTTTGACATTCGTCGAGAATCTCTCTTCAGACGCTCTATGACTGTGATTAATTTTTTGTTATATTTGTTGTTAATGCTTGCACTCGAATTCGAAAAAAGAAACAGCATAAATACAAATGCCCCCTCAGAATTTGGATCGGGAAGAGCCGAGCGATCCCGAGTGAATCACAGACGGCAGGGGCGGCACTGACCGAGTGCGATGTTAGTACCGCCTCAGCCCCAACCGCCGCCCCTCCCCCTTCCCCTTAGCACCCCCAAATCGCAGAGTGGAGCGGCATACAAAACGCTGCGATCGGCCTCCCGTGGGCTTAGTTTGTGAGACGCTCCCGAAGCGACAAGTAGTTGATAGCAACATCGGCGAAAAACCGGCAGGAGAACGCAACTGCACGCGTTGCATCGGCAGCACCAAAAAAAAATAAATAAGAATACCCCTCGAAAATATTTTTCATGTTTATTTTAACTTGAGGGAAATTTTATTTCGAAAACAACAACAACCGAGTACTGAAAACCAAAAGAAAAAGCAAAAGCAAAAAATAATAAAAACGTGTCGTTGTCCGTCAAAGCGAAGCGCTCCCATGTGCTGCATTACCAATTGAAAAAACATAAACAGCGAGCCCGAGGAGAAATGGGAAAATAGAACCAGCCGATAGATAAACAGCCACTGCAGGAACGTCAACAGAGCCCCAAAACCAAAAATATTACGGACTGCGACGACGACTGCAGACGAGGGGGAAAGTGAAAGTGATCTGAATATCAGTCAGTGGAAGCGGAGGAGCGTCTTATCTACATCTGCACCTCGCGGAGTGAATGCACCCTGACGGATCCTCGATTAGGTGCCTAAGCCAGATCCGAATCTCCATCAAAGAAGCCAAATCCAGACTTTTTGTTTTTGCGCGAAATCAAAAATAGATTGTACCAAGCCAAGGAATCCAAGTTCAGTGTCAGAGACGACACAAAACCTCCCTGCAATCTGCAAGATTCGTTCGTTTGCGTGGGGTCAGTCGTCTGCCTCGCAGAACATCATTGTCATTATCGTCATCATCATCTTTTGGGAGGGTGTGATTTCGAAATTTGAATACCGCAAGCAGCTGTGATATTGCATCTTTCAACATGACCCAATCGAAGGAATCGAATCCGGAGAAGAGTCGCGAGCTCATCAGCGAGGAGGGCATGAAGGATCTGCTCACCAAACAGCTGGAAATCGTGGGCAGCGGCGGAGCATTTGTCTGGTAAGCAGATAAAGTACCCTAAGAATTATTATTTTAATAACGCTAACAAATTGGAGAGGGAAATGGAAATGTTTTATTTGCAGAACCCTTTTTGTACGAAGGGTACTAAGCCTAAAGACACTTTAAACAGGTACTAAGTTAGCTTACATTTTCTTATAAGGCTTTAAATAGTTGTAATTAAAATGGAATCATTTACTATTGCTTAAATTTTCTCTTATTTGTATTAAGATCAGATTTCAGATTTTTAAATTAGGTGTTAATAGAAGAGGTAATATAAACATAATACATCCTTTAATGGTTCTAAATCGATAATTTTGCCAATTTGAGAACATTCTGCATTACTTGACAATCAGGTCTTTGCTTGCAATCAATGTTTTATTTAGATCATTGGCTCTGTGCGGAAAGTGGGAATCATATTTCTGACATATTTCGCTCGAAGTTGAGGAAGCAGTTTTTTAGCTCGGCTCGAATCAGGTTCCACTTGACCCACTTCATGACGAATGCAATGCGCTGGCTTTTAAAGGTTGAGCTTTTAGAAATTGTTGATATTAGTCAGGGTAGTACACTTTTCTCCCCGCGATTGGTGCTTAAACAGATTTAATTAGTTTTTCCGCTTGATTGGGCGCAATGCAATTAGAACCGTGAGTGTGAATTGGCACCCCATCTTAACCACAAGCTACTCACCGCAATTAAACCTAAAATCAATTAACTTTTTGCTACAGTAATAGGTGGGTAGGTAGCCCCTTCCTGATGTTAATTTTAGGCCCGGATCGAAGACTCATCCAGCTGGGTTCCAATCGTGGGGCAACGGTCATGTGGGCGATCGCCCGGTATAAGATTTAAATATAGAATGGAAATCTGGCATATCAGCGCACATTGTATGTGTGCGGTACTACATACTCTATTAGGCGCATTGTAAGCGATAAGGCACTTGTGAATTGGAATCGGGCGATGTGGGATCGTGTCGGGCGAGTACCGGTTCCATTACCCAGATCGGGATTGGGCCATGTAATGGATCCTAACCGATAAGCTCTCCGGCTGGAGGACGCGAGCACTAAAAGTCATTCAACTGAGTCATGTGAGGAAGTCCTATAAACTACAGTCTTTACCCCCGAAATACTGGGAGTGACTTGAATTTCGACGATCTTCGCGGAACTCTACGTGATGACAGGTGGGGGAGTCACGTGAAAAAGTCGGATATGTAAATATTGCGCATTGCGTTCCGGTTACCCGATTGGTTTAATGATTTACGACAACACTGCCGTTCGCTAAATATGCTCGGGCGAATCTTTAACTGCCATTAAGTGATTATGTGAGCGGCATACATAACCAGGCCGAATCATTCGCCCGAAAACCTTCACAGCTTTGTTTTTACTCGGATGTTTTGATCGGCGTTATTATTTGCATTCCAACGAGCAGTTAGCCAAGCGGTGTCAATGTGCGACCGATTGGAGTTGCGTGTTGTAAACAATTTGTCCGGATTCGAGATGTAGTATCTGGCGAAAACAAAATCCCAATTAGCAGTTCCCCATCGGCAAATAAGTTATTGTCACTTAACGTTACTTTTCCCTACCTTCAGGGCCATCTTCTTTCTGTGCGTAACGCCCAACATATTGAACGGCTTCCATGTGTCCTCCTACACGCTGCTGGGCCACCTGCCCGATGACCAGTGGTGCGGCATCTCGGACCTGCAGGATGCCAACTGGACACTGGCCCAGAAGCGGGAGATCGCGGGGAAGGGATTGGAGACCGGAGGATGCACGGTGTGGGACTGGAACTATGGGCGTTTGGCCAAGATGTCCTACGAGGCGGCCCTCAATTACACCAGCCACCTGTCGGAGATCGCCCAGCCGGCCGAGGTGTCCTGCAAGGCGAAGGGTCGCCACGAGTTCGCCAATCCGGAGAGCACCTTCGTCTCCGACTGGGACCTCACCTGCGACAGGAGCATCCAGCGTACTTCCGCTCAGGTTTCCATTTCGCTGGGCAAGTTCTGTGGCTCCTTTTCCTTTGGCATCCTGGCGGACAAGTGAGTTTACGGATGGTTGCTTTTTATGGAATCAAACTAACTGACTACTGGTATCTTTGCAGATTTGGTCGTAAAACCTCGTTTACCCTGGGAGCTGCATTCTTCATTGTCGGCAGCTTCTTCTGCACCTTCTCGCCCTGGTACAGTCTCTTCCTGGCAGGACGATTTGCTCTGGGAGCAGCTTCCTCCGGACTGTTCTATCCTGCCTTCACCATGAGTAAGTCATTTAGCTTAAAATAGGTTAAGATCTAAGTTGAAAGGGAAACTAATAAGTATTGAGGTTCAGCCGCCTTATAAAAGTCATGCCCTAACATAACACAGAATGCATTATTTTATGCGACATACTGCATACTAAGGGAAACACAATTATTAAAAAGATAAGACACAGTTCGGTTTTAGGTATCTGAAACCTTTTCTAACTTCAGATAAAAATCAGTGAGCAAAAATGCATCTTTTATATCAACTAATTTAATGTTTTACCTATATTTCAGTTGTTGAGAACATTTGCTTGAAGCATCGTTCCTGGATGTCCATAGCCTTCTCAGCCTCCTATCCGGTGGGCATGATTATCCTGGCCATTGTTGGCTACATCATCCAGCCGTGGAGGCATCTGCAACTGGCCTTGGCCATTCCCTCGCTCCTGCTCATTCTAAACTGCTAGTAAGTTGACCTAATATTGTTTAATTTTTCAATTCTGAAACTAATAACTTGCCCTTAGCTTGATGAATGAGTCACCACGCTGGCTGATCACAAACCAACGATACGATCGCGTCTACAAGATTCTGTTCAGACAGCCCAGCCACTACCAAGTTCAGCCCGCAGTTGCAGCCTCCGCTGCAGTCGTCACCGATAAGAAGTCGGTGAGTGCAAAGTTCCCAGAACATACATATAGATATTTCTATTATGTCTGCTTGCCAAGCTGAGAGCTCACCAAATCTTTTGCCATTGCAGCTGGAGCCGGAAGTGGGTTTCTCGCTGGGGGCGAAGCTTAGGAATGGTCCCCTAAAGTCCATCATTGAGTTGTATGCAACTCCCAGCGTGCGCAAGATGATCTTCGCCTCGTATTTCATGTTCTGCGTTACCTCGCTGAGTTATTATGTGACGGGTGAGTAGTTTATCTGGCAATTCCTATTTTATCTTGAATTTAGAGTTTAAAAGTGAGAGTTAATTTCGACATTTAATTTAACTTTTTAACTTGGCAATTTATAAATATTTTATCTTAGATAAATATTGATAGGCTAGAAACTCTGGATTGTGTATTCAGAGCCAGAAATACATATCTTATGCTTATTTTAAAACTTGTAAACAACAAGTACCATTACTTGGGTAAAAAACACATTTAAGGAAGCGTCGGGCAAAAGTAAATTAATAAACTTTAACAAGCTTTTCAAATTATTGATTTTTGCAGCTCTGAATGCCGCCAATTTGTCAGTGTCAAGGTATCTGTACATCATTGGAACCGGGCTGGTGGACATACCCTCGTACCTGGTGCCGGTGATAATGCTCCGCTTCACGGGTCGTCGCCTCACCACCATGTTCCTGTTCCTGTGGACGGGCGTGTCCCTGCTGCTGGTCCTCTCCGTTCCCGCCGGCAGCACCACCTGGATCGTGGCCTTCGCCATGCTGGGTCGCTTCGGCATCAGTGCCACCTACTCGGTGGTGACGCTCTACACAGCCGAGCTGTATCCCACCCAGATACGGAACTCGGCCCTGGGCACCTGCTCGACCTTCGCCCACGTGGGCTCCATTTCGGCCCCCTATGTGGTCGATTGCCTGGGAGCCCTGGGCTGGTACATTCCAACCACGATCTGCGGCTGCTGCGTTCTAGTAGCTGGCCTGCTGACCCTCACCCTTCCGGAAACCAGCACGGGGAAGCTGTCCGACAAGGTGGAGAACACTACGGCCCCGGCCTCCTCCCCGGCAGAGCAGCCCGAGAAGCAGTGATCGCAGCAGACTGCCTCGCAACTAGGTTAAATCCCATTTACACGACTTGATTTGTCAGCACACGAGACATTTTTAAATTTATAAAGTTGACAAACTTACCTAATTCTTTATAGCTGATTTTTACTCTAAGAGACTTTTAGCCATTTAGTTTTAATAATTAAAAATCAACAAAACTTCTTTACCTCAGGTTTGCTATTAAAAATATTTAGAAATGAAAAGCACCTAATACATAATAAACTTAAAGTACCTGATTTTGGGCAAAATTATTTTAAATAAAAAAAAAAAATTATGTTCAATTTTTTAAGGGTACATCTCTGAGAACAAAAAAAGACATGCTGATAAATCAAACCGTGGAAATGGTCATTAAAGTTAGTCTAATAAAAAATTCTAGACATATGTATATTACTAAGTTCGTTATTAGTCCGTGCTATTTCTGCATTGTTCAAGTATACATATATTCATTACTGTTCTGTTTGATATCGCATAATAAATATACTATTTATACGTGATCGCCAGAGATCTAGGACTGCACCAGCAGTTGGACCCAATCGTAGTATGGTTTGGTCACTGTATAGATGCTGGGCATACCTTGGATGCCGCAAGTCAGTCCGTGGGACACAAGGCCGTAGATATAGTCCTTGCCGCCATATGGACAAATCAGGGGGCCGCTAATGGATCAAATTATTTAATTTAGTTTCAAGTTGTAAATATATCGTAGACTAAGCATTACCCCGAATCTCCTTGACAGGAATCCTGATTGTTGCCCAGGGCACATACCGTATTCGCTCCATTCTGGGGCGCCCAAATGTGTCCTATAATATCCCGACACTTTTGATTTTCAATTACCCGAACTTCGGCTTCGAAAAGTCTCTTTTGACAGGGTCCAGCATGTTGGGTTGCTCCATAGCCAATAATGCGACAGGATTCTGTGCTTTTCAAGAACTAACGATAGAGTCAATATGCGGGCTGCTCAGAGACTTACCATTTTGGTCTGGTTTCATGCCCTGAGGTGGCAGTTGGGCGAAACGGAGGCCATTGCTGAAGGCACTCCAATAGCGACGCTTCATATACAACAGAGCTATATCGTTCCGAAAGTTTGAGCTACATTAGAAGATTATTATAAATTAGTAATTAATTTGAAATTGGACTGATTGAGTCAATTTCAGTTTTTATAGTTCTCAGATATCTCTTAAAGGGAAGTATTAAACTTGACTCAACGGATTACTCACGGTTGGAAGTAAATATACTCGGCGCTTTCCAGACCATATGGTTCCAGCTCCCCGATGTTTTCAATATTCTCATGGCCAATAAAGGCAGCAATATTGTGAATGTTTCTAAAAACAGAAAAATAGTCCGATTTAAGAAGGTCTTTCGCAAACTGCAGACTTACTTCCTCCAAACACAATGAGCTGCGGACAATATCCATCGATCGCTGATAAGGCTGCCACCGCAAAAATGTCGATAAGAAACTCCGATCGTGATATTTCCCGTAATTACGTCTTGTAAGGAGACCATGAAGGGGTATTTACTTGTGCTCCCTTTAAATTAAGTTCAGTTGTTAAATTTAGTGGCTAATGCGAGTGAGTTTAAAAGTGTACTGCCCACGGTTGACACGATCCGACCTCCGACAATTGGCACTGCCTGGCAGAAATTAGATCCAAAATGAATTAAGTCACTCAACAACAGTAGATAAAACCATATCCAGGGGCTGAGATCTTGAGCAGCCTTCATGATTGGGCTTTGAAAAGACACTGACATATGACCGTCAGCAGGTTGCTAATAGAGAAACAGTTACTATGCAAATACACGTATAAAAAGCATTCTCAGGCACTCGAACAAGAGCCCAAGCTGTGCAAATATTTCCAACTTTAATGCGTTGGTAATTGTTTTCAAATCTCAACGCGCCGGCGTCAGCAATGTCTATATATGTATAGGAATTTGCATTACCTGCATGTATAAACTTATTATTTAATTGCTTTAAAATTCTATTAAAACCTTGTTTAAAAGTTTAAAACATGACGTGGTTCAAATCAAAGTAACGTACATTGTTCTTATTCGGACAGTGTGGCAACGCTCCACTTCCGGAATATCGATTGATTCTGTGAGAAATTAACAGTAGCAAGAAGGTATCATTAGAGATGGGTTTGTGTTTTGCAGAGAAATGTTAGCGAAATGTCGAACAAACAGAGAAATTATAGCGAAACGTAGAACTATCAGAAATAGAGAGGAATGGATGGATAAATATCGATAGTCCCTGCCAAACATCGACAGGACCGATATTTTGAAATTTATGCTGTCATCGATGTTTTTCCACCTCTAATCAGCTGTTTGTGTGGGTAAAAAGAGTCATTTTCCAACTGCTCGATTTCCTTAAAAATGCAGGACTTGAAAAAAGGGGACTCACTGCGACTTCCCAACGGCGATGGAACAGCCAACGATGAGGTCAAGTCCCCGTTTCTGATCGGCGTGGCCGGCGGAACGGCCAGCGGCAAGTCGACGGTCTGCAAGAAGATAATGGAGCAGCTGGGTCAGGCGGAAATGGATCACACGCAGCGCCAGGTGGTGTCCATCAGCCAGGACAGCTTCTACCGGGAACTGACGGCCGCCGAGAAGGCCAAGGCCCAGAAGGGCCTTTTCAACTTTGACCATCCGGACGCTTTTAACGAGGAGCTCATGTTCAGCACTCTACAAAACATCCTTCAGGGCCACAAAGTGGAGATTCCCAGCTACGACTACCGCACCAATTCGCTGTGAGTAGCTACCGGGGAATATGTAAGCTCCAGCATATTTTTCATTTGGATATAGGCTTTATATTTATATAGTATTGTTTATGATTCCTGGGTAATCATTATTTCGGGAACTATCAGCTTATTGAACCCATTAGATTAATGGGATCTATCTAAACACGTTTATTGGTAGACAAGCAAAAATAGTAAATGTTTTAAAGGGAGAACGCTCTGTGAAATGAGAAAGAATAAGAATATTGTAATTATAATGCTTTATTTTCCCCATAGAGACTTTGAAAACATGCTGGTTATCTACCCAGCCGATGTGGTCTTGTTTGAGGGCATCCTGGTCTTTTACTTTCCGAAAATACGCGAACTATTCCACATGAAGCTGTTCGTGGACACAGACTCCGATACCAGATTGGCCAGAAGAGGTGAGTCGTGGCTTTGCTTTATTCCGAATAATATATTAAAAAACCTTCTACCAGTGCCACGTGATATAAATGAGCGTGGCCGTGATCTGGACGCAGTGCTCACCCAGTACATGACTTTCGTGAAGCCCGCCTTCGAGGAATTCTGCTCGCCCGTAAGTTACGCCTTTCAAAGTGCCATAATTTATTACTAATCAACCACACCCTCTTTTAGACGAAAAAGTTTGCTGACGTTATTATACCGCGAGGCGCCGACAACACAGGTGAGGCAGCAGCACCAAGACACCTGTCCACTTTAATTTATTTTTTATGCCCTTACAAAACACACTCTTAAGCGTTTGTAGTGTTTCGTTGAGTTGGTTGCCCAATAACCATAGATTTAGCAATTGTTCTTTTGTTTCTGGTTCTATTAACCCGTCCGAGGACAACAAGACCTTACCACATAGAATGCTTGATGTTTATATACATTTAAGTACTACATGCCTATCAACATTTCTATCCCCTCTTTGTTTTTCCTTCATCTCTGTTAATTGTATCTCTTGCGTTACGATTTTCCGTTCTTTTCGTTTTGTTCCTGTTGTTTTATTGTATTTCTTGCAGTTGCCATTGATCTTATTGTACACCATATCGGGGAGATTCTCGCCACCACCAACAGCGCACAGCACAGCAACACAGTCAGGGTGGCGGCGTCCAGCATGAAGCGAGATCACTAATCGCAATTATAAACTCGCTTCTGGGGCGGCCACTTCCTCGTCCTAACGCCGCGTCTTGAGCTTGTACTAATTGCCAAAAACTAAAGCCCGAAAGCTTATGAAAGATATAGAAAACCAAGGCGCCGCAGCACACTAAGACAAATGTCCATTAATAAGCGCCGGCATCGCTTCTCATTTGGTCTTCTCATCGTAACCAATTAGCGTAGTCTTAAGATTAAAAGTATCTTTAGTATCTACTTGCATATGTTCAACAATACATGGTAGTGTGTATGTAAGCTCGTTTCTGTTCATCAAGATAACCCAACCTAAGATTGCGTTCCCAGTCTAACTCTGGTCTTATGTTATAGCATCAATTTAAATGATAAAGTTAATATCGATCCCTGGGGTCTAACCTGGTGCCTAGCCCCAAATCTGGTTACCTTACGAGGTTTTAAGCACTCTACTCACCAAACCACACGTGTTACACATCTAACTATTGTGTCTATATTTAGATGCCCGATACTTTGTTAACCACTCTAATCAAATTAATATTTGTTGATGCTTTGTTACAAGTATATGTTAATACGAAACATTTACCAGCTCAATTTCCGTTACTACTTTCAAACTCTGTAAGACTTTAATAATTTGTGACTGATTTCGATTTCTATCTGTATAGTTTTGCATAGTTTTCCGATATTTACAGATTAAAATGTCCTTAAAATAATAACAAATAGTTAACTCATTCCTATAACTCAAATATAAACATTTTCTGTTTATCTATTTCTAACCTTTTTCAACCCAATATCCCTTATAAAATGTTATATTTATAAAATAGCAAATCAGTAAATGTCGAAACTGTCAAATCGAAACTATATAGTTTCAATATAAGCAATTGTTCCAAAAGCAATACGTTTGAATGAAAATACAATTTCTGTTGTAGGGATATCTATCCCATTTTTTCTTAGTACCGGGCATCTTAAAAGTCAGCTCCTGCGGCTTTAGTTTTTCTAAATCGTTGGTACTATAAACACTTTAATGCTGTCTCAAATACACAAATGCTAAGATACTCTATTGCCTAGCAAGGCCTGAAGATAATTTGGTGTTTCATTTAGTAAGTACATAACCAGCTGATTGTAAAGCACAAGACACAACAGAGTAACAAAAACCAGAATATGCCGCCCAGCTTAGATGCGACTAGGTAATAGATCCTACTAACTAGAGCTAGATTAAGTCCTTGGCTTAGACAAGACCGCTTGGATTGGGGGAGCTCTGGAGGAGCAGCAAGGTAAGTGGATAGTTTCACGTTGAGTTGCAATGCTTACGAAAATGCAGCATTACGATTTGATACAAATTAATTGACTGTGAACTAATTGTACATTCTTTTACTTTCAGTGGCCATCGATCTGATCGTTCAGCACATCCGGGATTTTCTGAACAATCGCTCTCGCCACGGATCGACCGGAAACATGGCACTCTACATGAATCTGGACTTGAATGCAACGAGTGCTGGTTTCGCGGGCCCAGGTAAGGCCACCATCCAAAAGGCGCGTCCCCACTAACCGTCCGCTGACTGGAGCGGATCACCCCGGATTACTAATCACCCCATGCATGCGATCGGACCCTTGCTGTAAATATAGTACCTTCTATTATACTTTGTGTTTCTCCGTGAAAGATGGAAGCGAGAGCCACCTGGGCACCTACAACGCCATCCGGCGGTTCTCCACGCTCTGCAAAGAGCTCAACATGCAGGGCAACTTCTTCTTCGAGACGAACAAGAACCTGCCCCACCACTAGGCTGGAATGACTTTCGAATCCCCGGAGCAGTACAACCCACGGCAGTCATAGGCGAATGTTAATTCTGTAACCAAATATTGTACCTATAGATATATTTTTTCAGTAAATCGAAGTTGAGTTATAAATTATTTATTCGTGATTTGAAAAAGTTAATCTTAAATGAAATGGCTCAAAAACAATTTGCGGACAAAATTTTTATAATTTGATAAGCTTTAGAAAAAGTAATATTATTTGCGCTTTATAAGACATTTACCAATTTATGTTAAAATATTTGGTATTTATTTGAATAGCTTTTTTCGGATTTGTTAGCATACAGATATGTTTATATCATGTCAGTAAAATCAATATCCATTTAGCACTTGTACATGGCGTTGATCTTTCGCAAATCACCTGTGGAAAAACCGTCTCGATTACCCATCTTTCTGGTATCAGGAGTGTTGCGCAATGCCACCAGCGTGGGCCCATTATTCCTGGAGAAGGCAAAGGGCGAGTAGTGCATCACACTGGCGTAGTCGTAATCCACGCCAAAGCTGGAATGTGTGTATGGGTGGCCCTTATCAAAGTTGTGCTCTTTGCCAGGTTTAATGTTTTCGTGTATAACCCTAATATAGAAATCTCGATCATGGCGACTTTGCTCATGTAGGAAGCCAACGGCGTGCATCAGCTCGTGGATCGCAGTTCCGTAATCACGTAGACATCCCGAAGACTGAAGATTCACCTGCTGGACGCCACCAATGCGTCCAACGGCACTATGACATCCAGATCTGTCATTTGTAATCGAAATGTAATCTTCTTCTGTTGTCCTGGGCACAAAACGCACACAGGTCTTGGTATGATATTCCTGAAAAAGATTTAATAATTTAAAATTGTAATTCATTTCGACAATTAAAAGTGCAACGTATTATGTAGAAAACTTGTACAAAACTTGGGAGTCACCAGATATTTTATGAAATTTTCTAAAATTGTTACCTTAAAAGCATGGCTGATATAGTGCAAATCCTGCGATGTAAACGATTCATCGATCACGTAGGGCACCACGCCGCCCGTCCAACGATTACTTGACGACCGCAAACCAGATCGGGCATTTTTATAACTCTTTGGAAATAAAATGTCTCCCTCAAAGTAAGTACCCAGTTCCTCGGGGTTCTGAAGCGAATCCTTGTTGTAAGCCTCGACCAAAGCTCCTGTGATTTCGAAATCCGGATTGACAAATGCGCTTTCGTCGAGATCTGACAAGTCAATAATGTCCTCAGAGTGCAAATCCTCCAGGGGCATGGAATATCCCAGCGAAATAAATGGAAGAATTATGAGCAAGATCAACACTTGTTTACTTTGCGACTTCTGCATCTTGGTTAGTTTTTCTACTGCTGTGATTTCCAGCCCAGTTAACTGGCATTATATAGTCTTTACAAGACCTTCCAAAATAGATCACTAGTTAGTGATTTTTTTTCTTATTTATTTGTTTCTATTTATACCAAACTAATTTGTTAAACGATAAGGCTTGGCTGCAGTTTCTATTTTAATAAGTTAGCACTTGCTTATCTAGTGAGTCTTGATTTATTTACCGCTTTCATTTTGCAATTTGCATTGCATTTTTGCAGCTCCATTTTTTTAGTTTTAGTCCGGTCACTGTATATTTTTTCGGTTAGTATTGTTTTAGCAGATGGAGTATCAGAAAAAACAACTATTTGTATGCTTTATAAATGTATATATATTTTTACAGTTCTTTTGCATCGGGTGTCCATAAAGGTAAGGCATGTTAATTTAATCTAGTTTTTGCACTTATACATGGCGTTGATCTTTTGCACATCTCCGGCTGAGAAACCGCGTCGTTGGCCCATCTGGCTGGCATCGGAAGTGGCGCGCAACGCCTTCAACGTGGGCTGGCCATTGCGGGTGAAACTGGTGGCCGAGTAGTGCATCACACTGCCGTAGTCGTACTCCACGCCGAACCCGGACTGTGTCCTGGAGCTGGACTTCTCAAAGTTGATCATCATCTCAGGCTTAATGTTCTCGCTCATCACCCGGACATAGGAGTCCCGCTCGTGGCGATTCTGCTCATGGAAGAAGCCCAAAGCGTGCATCAGCTCGTGGATCGGAGTGCCGTATGTTCGCAGGCAGTTGGGAGACTGCAGATTCACCTCCTGGCGGCCACCCAAGCGTCCGATGCTGCTCCAACAGCCAGACTTTCCACTCCCAATCGAGATGTAATCTTTTTCAGTTGTCCTGGGCTTAAAGCGCACGCAAGTTCTGGTGTGGTATTCCTGATGGAGGATTAATAATTAAGAATGTAAGAATAGTATAATCTTGGAAAATATATATGTTAGTTATATTTAAAAACCTTACCTTAAATGCATGATTGATATTTCCCAATTCCTGAGTTGTAAAGGGACCTTTAATTTCGTAGGGCACCACGCCGCCCGGCCAGCGGGAACTCAGAGCCAGGATGCCATTTCGCGTTCCATTGGATCGGGCATTCCTGTAACTCAATGGGATCAATATATCACCCTCGTAGTAGGTGCCTAATTCCTCGGGGTTCTGTGAGGACTCCTCATTGTGAGCCTCGACCAAAGCTCCTGTGGTCTCCACATCCGGATTGCCAAACACAGTATCCCCCAGATCTGACAGGTCAATCATTTCCTGAGAGTCCATATCCTCCAGGGGCATGAAATCTCCCAGAGAAATGCACAGAATAACTAGGAGTAAGGACAACCGGGGTTTATTTTGTGTCTTTTCCATTTTGGCAAGTACTCCTTCTATTGTGATTACTAGCCCAGTTTGCTGGCATTATATAGTCTCACCTAGACCTCCAAAAATATACGACTCGTGTTGCCGGCGATTTTGTTTCACTCATTTGTGGCTGTTTATGCTGAGTTCTTTTTGAAACGATAAGTCGGCACTTTGTAGGCGCTTACATTTACATTAAGTACGCACTTGGCTATCCGCTTGCTTCTTGATTTATGTACGCTTTATGCATTCCGCCAATTTGTTAGTAGAGTGTGGAATTTTTTTCAGTTAAGATTTGGGGTTTTCTAACAATTTTTTAACTCTAATCGGGTTATGCTCCGAAAAGTAAGGGTGAGCTTCGTTTGGCCCACATTTATGGTTTCTTTCAAAGTTTTTATTTGCATGTTTTTGGGGCTCCGATTATGAAAGTATATGTTAAAGTTTGCGCATATTTTGTTTAATTTGAAAAGTTTTTAATCATTAAATATTTTGTTTCATTGATTTCCCACCCTAATTTGTATTTTCCATTTCCACTTCGGTTCGTGTCACAACTTAATGGAACTGATAGGTTCAAAACTCTACTAAGCAGATCGACTGTAGACCTTAATGATAAATTCTTCGCTGACAATAATTATTTTTAATTAAAAATTATTAAAATAATTTTTTATATTATTTATTATTATATAACAGAAATTCATTACCATTTATTACCTCGAGTCCATCAAGCAAATAAATAAATAAATAAATTTGTGTAATTATTATTTAATATAAAATCAAACGGCTTAAATATTATTAACTTGTAATTTCAAATTGTTTTTACTCCTATTTTTGGCGCCAAGTGCATAAAAATCGGCCCACTGTGCGGCTTTGGGAGAGAGACATTTCGAGAGCGTTTGCTCGTTCTACTCCCACAATATACATATATCTGTACTGCTCAGATGCACTGAGTTGATGCTTGCAAACCTATTGCTTTTGCTTCGCACATTTGTTCTCAGCAGAGTCTCTCTGTCTCAGCCTGATAGTTAGGCCGCTAAACATTTTCTTACCAATTTCTCTATCGTGCTGGTCGGACGTGTTTTTTGGTCGCTCCGCTCGAAACTTTTTTTCACCGTTTTCGGCCAATGTGTGAGCTCGCGAGAGTGTGTGTGCTGCTTGCAGTTCAAAAGGGCAGCAACAACAACAGACCTCTCTTTTAAGCCAACTCTTCGGTCTGCGCGTGTGTGTGTTAGTTAGAATTGTGGCCTGGGAAGAAATGGCAAATTAGTTGGCTCAAATCGGAATCTCTGTGCTCAATATTCAAATTCAGGCTAGAAAGTGTCGCGTGCGAAAGTGTGCAAATAATACAACTAGCGAAAAAAGAAATAAAACTTAAAATAAACCTGTTCTAAGCCAAGTGCCGAGTCCGTGTGTGTGCGTAAAGCAGAAAGAAAAGGAGAGAGAGAAGAGGGCGAATGCAATTAACAACAAAAATAAGCTCAATGAGTATCATCTGAATAGAAATAATATAGCCAAAAGCAAGCCAAACGAAACCCTTTCCAATACGAAAACACGATTTAAGCCAACAAATCAACGATCATGGCTATAATCGCGAATGCGTCACCGCCGACACAACAACAAAAACGACGGCAAACAACAACGACAACAGCGGCGTCAGCAGAAACAACAACAGCGAGAAGTCGAGACCGCACGAAAAGCGCAGCTCAAATTACGTCGCATTTGCTCAAGCGCGCCATTTCAGTTTATTCGTCGCCTCAATGGATACCGCTCTTCATACTTATTTACTTAGCAACAGGTGAGAGAACAAAAGAGAGAGCCGAGGATATTCTGGTCCTTGGGGACAGAAAGAGAGAGAGAGAGAGAGAGAGAGGAACAATAGTCAGGGACATTCAGAGAGCAACAACATTTTCATTGTTCTGGAAACAGTGAAAACTCCATGAGCTAAACTATGGTTCTAAATTTAATTTTTAAAATAAGTTTTATTACAAAAATATTTGTTTTTTGGGTTACTGTTCTTTTTTTATAAAAGTACCATATTAGAGAAGTTTCATTTAAAGAAGTTTGACTGTAAATTGTTTTCTTGCTGAACCACAGGCATTCTTTAGACTGAAGATTTGCCGATGTTTCAAAAGCTCGTAAGTCGAAACAAGAGCAACAGATCACGGGTGTATGAGTTTGGAAAATTGTGTTTTGGGGATGTGGGCAAAGGAAAAGTCATACTCGGCCAAAGAAATTTCAATTTATTTCGGGCATCCAAAAAACTTGTTGAACGGGTTTTCCTTTAAGAAGTGACTCATGAAGCTGGCATACCTATGGCTCGATTGTGTTAATTATCCACTCCATTTGGATGGTTGTGTGTAGTTAATTCTTATCTCCCAAGCAAAAAGAATGCATAGAAACTTAGTCTGAAATGTATTAGCTTGGATTACGTATAAATTTATATTTAGTTGGAGGGCCTATTCTTTTCATTTGGCTTACAGGGTAATTAATCAAATGATATGAAACAATCATGAATTATATAGTAAATTGAGTGTATATTTTATAAAGATGAAATTTATAGATATTAATATCAACTTACAACTTAACTTACTTAAAATGCACCTTAAAAATATGAGTGATTTATAATGGATTTGGAGCTTAAAATTCACATTGAAATGTAAATAATAGACCAGGAAACGAAACGCACAAAATTAGTATCTATGCATTCCTTGACAAAGCTATACATTTTCGGTATCAATATCATAGCTTACTTGTCTGCAGTTTCAGAGTGTTTTGAAAGACATCACAACTTTGCAAAGCAATGATATTGATCGCATAATGATCATAATAATTGATTCACAACTCTTGCTGACTCATTATGTGTAATTATCTGTTACATATTGCCCGAGTCTCAACTGTGTTGCTGCCTTAGCATTGCCTGCCCCCTTTTTTCATCGGATTGTGCAAAAACGACCTTAAAAATTTGGTTTATTTATTTACAATCCGAGTACCACACCGCCAGCCGACCAACCATCTGCCTGTTGTGACTGGCAATCTTATCTTTTGGCCGGAAAGTGAAGTACAACAGTTGCAAAAGCGCGGCCAGCTCAACGTCAGCAATACCGCAATTCCGTTGATATGTTGATAAAGAAAACACACACAAAAGGGGAACAGAGATAGGGAACGAGTTTTTCAGCTTAATGTTGGGAAGGGCCTAAAAAGCATCGAAGAAAATATTTTTAATAGATGCTTTCAGCTTTTGAAGATTTTTTTATAACTCTCGATACACTTTCAAAAACCTATGAATGATATATGTAAAGAACCCGTAAATAGATAGGGTTTCCATTTGAGTGAAAAGCAATCCCGGATATGCATTTGAGAAACTGGTTTATGACAGCATCTTTCATTATAAAATCAAGGATCCTCATATACGTTTTCAAAGTCACTGGGGTTTTTCCTAAAATTAACTAATAAATTTGCATAAATTTCGTTTTTGACTAAAAAAATTCCTAGAAATAATTAACTGTGGGTGCTTTTTATCTTCAAATTTATCAAATGACTTTCTTTTATGATCGCCAATGAAAAACCCACAAATGAGGGAAAGAGACAAAGAAAGGTTTTCCATCTTTGAGTTGGGAAATCCCTGAAATGCATCACAGCAACTGGTTTATAGCAGCTTCCATTATAAAATCCAGGCACCGACAGCGAAGATCATCAGCGTCATCTTCACTTCGAGGGTGGTTTCTGTCAGGCTTTCCTTTGAATTTCCGCCCTAAACAGATATAATCCATCATTTTCTGGGGAAAAATCGCGGCGCAGGTACATTGCACGTAGGAAAAGTGGAGGGAAAACACAAATGAAGCAAAACTGCCTACCTGCATTGCGTTAACGATAACAACACGTGACCCCGCGGGTTTGTGGAAATACACTCGCACGTAAATGGAAATCGAGAATGGAAATTGTGTGCGGGACACACCCGCGTTCTCCGGTGTCCGGTGCTTTGGCCTGGTCAAGTGTTAAAGTGCAATCGGCCGTGACATGGGCCGTGGGCCGTGTTCCGTGGGTCTATTCAACCGGCCGCTACCATTGCCTGACGCTGGCCATTAGTGCAAGTCGTTAGCCAGCTCTATAAAAATAGCCAGAGTATAACTAAAAAAGAACTGATTTGCCCCAGTCCCTTAAAATTAAGAGAATACCAATTCTTGAAAATAAATGTAGCAAAGGGTGGAAGGGCCAGCACATCAGAATCTATATTAGCTATAGCAACCTCATATAGCTTTTTAGATGTACATGATTGACCGAGCCTTCTTAATCGCCCAAAAATCACTTATGGACTAAAACCTATATATGTAGGTTTGAAGAAACAAATAATCTTTTTAATAGAACAGTGGAGTATTAATGGGTGGCATTCAAGTCTGTTCACTCGACCTATGGTTCTTTCTTATTTCCACTTGCAATGTTGCCAGTTTTCAGTTTTCAGCGACTGCATCGATTAGCCAGCTACCTTGGGGACTTACCGCTGCATAAAAACCGCAAATATGAGAAAATCAGGGAGAAACAAAAAATCAAACTAAAAACACAAAGCCGCTTTCGCTTTTACTTGATATTATTTCAAAAAATTTCGATGCAAACAAATGTTTCAAATTTGTGGGCGTTGTTCAATGCTGTCTGTTGGATTGTCTTTATCGCGGTGATCACGTATAGCTGTTTTATCTCTCGCTATTTGCATACGCAGCGTACTGCCAGCAACAACAAAAACCATTGTTAGCATTGAGTCACACCAACACCGATACGATGGGCTATAACGCACTGAAATCGGACACAAATTGTTTGGTAATTAAGGTGGGAATTTACGAAACAGTTTCGTTCTGAACGCAATTAATGTAGCCAGAACGCGTGGTTTTAATATTTACTTGTGAAAATCGTAATAACATGTTCTTGGTCGCAACAAACAAACAAACATGTACATATATGAAAAAGCTGGAATATTTTTTATTTTGTTTTCAGTTTTTAGGCTTAATATATATAGAAATTATTTTTTAGCTTTACATGTTTACCATACTACTGAAAGTGCAATGCCACTTCCTGATATAACTTCATAAATACTTTTATAATTACTCATAGCCCTTACTTTATTTTGAAAACCTTTCCATAGTGAAACGCCCACAGACTGCGTTTATTCTCCCAAAGTCTGTGTTTGCTCAGATTGTGGGTTCTGTTCGTTTCGTGGGTTCCGACTGTACTGGTGGATCTAAAGGTTCTGGTGGTTCTGGTGGTTCTGCTCTTTGAGGACGCACCGGAAAAGATTCTCAGGCGTGTTTTCGGTTTTGTTTTATTCAACAGTTCATTGCTTTGTGCCAGTTTGTGAACGGGTCTGGCCGCCCCCTTTTCCAGGCCCACAGAATGTACAAGGGCCGCCTTGTTGGCAACACACATAAAGTGGTGGAACCACAAAACTGGTTCCCAGGCGCGCCTGCGCAGAAGCGGCTTACAAAAACAAAACAATGGCGCCAAAAGAACGGGGGAGAGAGCGAGCGACTCTATTTTTGAGTGTGCTCCATTCTAAGCATTCATTTTGGGAGTCTTATCACTTAAGAGTAATTTTGCTGTTCCCAGAACCAAAATATTAATGAATAATATTTAAAGAAGGAACAAGTACTTAATACTGTTAAGAAAACAAACAACTTGAATACTTAAGCACTATCTTCCGAAGATGAGCTTTGATTAGCAATGAATTAAAGTATTTAAATAAATACACTCATTTCAAAAATTTCCCATTGTAACTTATAAATTGTCGTCCTTCAAGTTTTCGTACTTATGTTAATATCAAAGTTGATGTGCCTTGATATCTTTGCTTCTATTTGTGCAGAGTTCGTGCCAATTTCATTTATTTGGCTTATTTTTTCTTTATGTGCATAATTCCATGAGAGTAAACTAAGCGAAACCGTTGGGTGTTGACGCACTCGAATTTTTTAGTGGGTGCGGTTTTTTTTGTGCCTGTTAATCTGCAGCTTTCATGGGAAACGTTTATTTATGAAAACTAATTAGCTTCTGACCGCCTGAGTGTATTGTTACCATTATATATAATAGAAGCGGTTTTATTTAAATACTTAAAAATATTTCCTCACCACATTTCTTGGAAGCCTAAGCGGAAATTAGTGTGGGAACGCATTCGTATCTCAGTTTCGTTTGGTTCTTTCTTTGCGCCAACAAGGTGTTTGAACAAATGATCGCCCAGAGCCAGGTATTCTTCGGTACTAAAGTGCAGTCAGACATGAAAGAGCTGAAAGTGTGTAAGGCTTAGAATGGAGCGATGGACATGGGAACTAACTAATCTTGGAAAGAAATGCATTGCCTTCAAGAAACTCAACAACGAAATCATGTTAGACATAAGAATAGGGATTTAACACCTTACAAGTCATTAACCAAAAGGTGAAGCTATTTGCACATCAAAGATATTTCAAAGAGAGTTCCTATCTTTGTTACATTATTGAGTTATTGTTATAGACCACAAAACAGTTATTTGCCATAACATCAAACTCATATTAAAAAATTAAACATAATTTATTACAAAACAAGCTATTCATTTATTCTCATGCGACATTTAAAAATTTATTAGATAAATTAATTATCCATTTTCCTAACGGAAGTTCAATCCCACATAAACTTTTTCCCAATATAAATATTCATAGCGGAACGAACTGTTATTAATTAATAACCTTTTTTGGTGCTCTGTAGTTCCTGCTTTAAATTAGTTCAAACGTGTTTTATTTCCTAAAATAATAAAAATTGAGATACTTAAAACGAAAAGCTTACAATAACAAAATATTGATTTTTCTAATACATGATCTTTTTTCCTTATAAATTTAAGTATATAACCATGTTGATTGAATATTATGTGCCCTTTTGATAATCGTATTATCCAAAAAGCTGTAATTAAAGTTTAATCGAGACACGTTTTCACTTTTCCATTAATAGAGAGAAACGGATAGAGACCGAAAACTGAAAACGAAAACGCAACAATTAAAGTGCAATTAAAAAATTTCAAATTTAATTAGACAGAGCCAATGTTGCTATTGTTGACGTTTTAGCCAACAAATTAAATACAGAAACTGAAAAAATCGGTCAAAAGTAATTTATGCAATTTTTGAACATCCGATAAGCGAAAAGAATACAAGAAAACAATCGAGAGCAAAATGAAATTTTCCGTGGGCGTTTTGTTACACAAATCAACGAAAAAAGTATTTAGAGCAAAAATTACAGGCAACAACAATACAGAAAGACAGTGCTTTTTGTGTGGGTTGGCAAGTGAGGCAACACAAACATATACACTTTAAACTGAGTTAAAACAATTGAAGTATGACCAAATGCAGAGGGTTGCTCGCATAAACCAAAAGAAGAATAGTTGCACAGACAAAAATTTATTTTCGAACATTTTAAGAAAATTTTAAAAATTAAATAATAAACAGTAAACAATCCACAGCAACCGTTTGCGTTAGTCCAGTTAACAACCTGCAACCTGTTTTATTTTGGCCAAACATCGAACCCACGAATTGGGATAAGGGTTGGACCTTAGTAGAAAGGAGTAAGTGGTGGTAGTAAACAACCTCTTCAAAATATAAGGAGGAGTGTTGCTCACTAGAACTAAAAAAACTGAGAAAAACAGCTACTGCATTTCGTTTCACAATTTGATGAATGCAATAACCTTATTGGCTAACGATGTACTATGTATACAGCTGACATGAAAATAATATTAATTGCTCTATGGTGTCACACATTTATGAATCATTATTCCATATTAAACCTTAAATTGAAACATATTATTATTATATACGATATTTTATGAATTTCTTTTAAAATTTTTAATAAAAATGCGTTTAAATATTATGAAAAAATACAATCTACCCATTAAAATTGATTTTAATATAGGGAAAATATCGCTGCTAATGTTGTGAACTCAGTTGTTTGTAGACACTCCACGTTGGTATTGTACTCGGTGTTGTTTTGCATATGCTGACGCTGATTAGTCATACCAACAGAATGCAGTGCTAAATGCGAAATGCACAGGCAAAGCCAGAGGCAAAATCAAAGCAAAGCGAGCTGAGCTAATTTGCATACATCTACTTATGTTGTGTTTTACACTGCAGGCAAGTGTTGCAACGAGTTGAATGTTTTTGTTAACTGGGTCTGCGGGAGAGAGCCTCTCATTTTGGCCAACTTGACGTATGAGCGAGGGCGGGAAAGGAATTCGCCGTACTAAAGCTGCACTTACTGTTTCCTCCTTAAAAAGTTTTGCGTGTTTTCCGCACAAACTGCTTTTTGCATAAATCACTTTTTTCTTACCAGTGGTAAATACCATGGAAAAACTTAAATGGGGAACCTAAAATGGGTGATTATCTCGGCTTTATTTTTAAGATCTCGAGCGTTTTCTCTTTCAAATTGGAAGATTTACCAAAGTATAGGGGCTTACAATTCCGGAACTCCTAAAATAGATAATTAACTAACTATTTTGGTTAATAAACATGGGGGAAACTAAAATTAATTAGTAAGCATTTAGTAAGCAAAATTGAAACAATAAACTCACAAGCAGTGTGTTGCGAGCTTCACAAAATTAACCTTAAATTCAACAAACTGGTTTTTTTATAAAAATTTTTTTTAATAAAAATTATAGTTTCATCTTTAAACTAATTAATTTAATTAATAAACACAACAAGTAAAAATTAAAATTTTATTAAATTAAGACATATTTTACCTATAACAGTAATTCTTTCAAGTTTATTCATTTATTATGTCAGAAAGTACAATAGAAATTTCAATAATACACAAATGTCCAAACATAGTTTACAGCCTTTAAGAAGCCACAATATTGCTTTAAAGTTCATTTAAATTTCTTAAGTCTTAGCCATTGGCCACGCCCCTGCTTTAGAACCGGCACAAAAGAATCTTTGTCCCCAAAAAACTCCAAGCGAGACATCATTAAAAGCTTAAAAAGCATTTCCAGCAGAACACTAACGCTTGCTCTTGACAAAAGACGTATAAAATACTATTAAACTGTTTCTTTTACGGCACCGCTAAAAAGAATTCGTCCGCTCTCGGGAGCAGAATTAAACCAGAGTTTTGCACTTAAGGTTCGAAGCCGTAGTCGAGTCATTCATGACTGAAATAAAATTAATAGGCATAAGAGCGAACGGAAAAAAAATATAAAAAAGATAAATATTGTTCTTGCCGGTGGTTATGATTATGAAATTCCCGTTCCGTTTGCTTACGGCAACGCTCACAAGTCAATTCTAAGCCATAAAATCCAAGTATATTTCAGGTTCTATAAGTTGATTCACACAGTAAGATATGAAATTAATTTAGATACAAAAATTTGAACAAAGCTCCTAAAATTTATAATATATTTTGTTATATTTGGATTCTTGCTGTAATGAGAAGTTAATGTATATTTTTTGAAAAATCCATTGCTTTCTGACAAACTATAAAACTGTAAATTTACGTGTTAAATTTTTATAGCATTTTTGCCGTATGATTTGTGAATACTTTTCTGCATAGTTTCGTACGTGAGTATAATATAATTATGAGCTACTTTACTAGCGACTTATATACTTGTTTACTGACTACGCCTTGGCTACCCCCTTGGCCACTCCCGTTTCTCACCTGGCACACATAATCACAGAAATGAGAAATGACAACAAAACAGTACTGTCAATGCAAATAGCAAATCGCCTTTAAATACCAAATAAAATGTTTGAGAAGACCGCGCAAAAAGAGTCGTCAAAATCGATGGCCTCATAAAGCATTGTATATTGTTGCCCGTTGCTTTAACATGGTTCAGGTTCTGTCGAGGTCCCCCAAGCGCTTTCTAAGCTCGTGGCAGCCATGGGTCAGGGCAGCCCAAAGGGCACAGCGGACCACAGACGGGTTCACCCGAGCCAGAAGGTGCTAAAATGATCTCTTCTCTGTATGGGGAAGTGCAAAAATAAATACACATGTGCCAACTTTATCGCCGAGAAAAGCTTCAAAACACATTTGGTTTTTGGTAATAAACCTTAACTTGTGTCATTGAAAACACAACGCAACTATTGAACGACAATATATGTTAACAGTCGAAAATCAGCAAGGTAAATAGGCAATACCAATAATACAAAAGACCCAAACAATTTTAAAAACAAAATTACAGTTTAGACTTAAAAAAAATTAAACTGAAACTAAAAAAAAAGTTTTTTTTAAAGAAAAGTTACTTCATTTCATTAAACGTAAATCTCGAAGCGATCAACAAAACATAATATTTTAAACTTATTAATGTTATTATCTCTAAGCCTTTTAGTTAAAGACTTAAAGTTAATTATATAATTTTTTTTATAAAAAAATCTTCCTGCCTTTTTAAAACTAGATAATTAATACAAACATTATATTTAAATAGGATTTATGTAAAAAAGCGAAAAGTTTCCCTGTTTTTTGTTTCGATTTCCTTTCAGTAATAACTTTTTCCTGTGCCGCTTTCTTTCCGTTTTAAGATTTTGGTTTGTTTCCTGCCTTTTTAAAACTAGATAATTAATACAAACATTATATTTAAATAGGATTTATGTAAAAAAGCGAAAAGTTTCCCTGTTTTTTGTTTCGATTTCCTTTCAGTAATAACTTTTTGCCGCTTTCTTTCCGTTTTAAGATTTTGGTTTGTTTCTTTCGTGTGATCTGTAGACTTTTGATAAAAACCAGCTTATGAACATGCAAGTCTGTTTACTTTTATGTGCATATGGTACATTCATAGTTGGTTTTTTTTTTGCAAATCTTAACGCCTTGTGCACCCAGCTTGTTAATTTCGCTTTGCTATTTATATGTTTTTTTTAGTTTCGAAAATAATACAGAAAAAGTTTGAAGTCAGGTATGGTGTCTTCTGGTCTGCGGCTGCTGATTTTTCTACTTTTGCTGCTTTTTTTCTGCCACTGTTGCGGGAATTGATTCTGCGCTTTGGTGATCAGCGCAAATGAAAGTTGAAAGAGGGGGGTTTTAACTGATTACCATTTAAGTGGCATGTGCCAGGCCATGGCAACTCATCTAATTTGGTCAATGCTACTCGAAAGACAAAACACTTTCTTAGCCGGGGAGCAATGGACAAAGACGCGGCAAAAATGCTGAACCAAACAGCACTGCGAAAATGTAAGCCAAAGTAAACCAATTGGCCATTTGCTGTGCGCCAAATACGCGAAATGAGGAAGTCTACGGTTACAAATGGCGTTGGCCAAATGCGAATGAAATGCGATTAGTTAAATGAGAGCCCGACTTGGCCCGAACCGACTTGGCCCGAACCGACCTGGCCTTGTCATGCTTTTTATTTCATTCAATTCACCCATCAGTCTGTTGCTTTCAGCAAAAAATTACACTGGATTGATAAGTTCAAGTTGCTGCTTTTCAAATTTGTTTAAATTATATTAACGTATTCATATTTTCTTAAATATGTTGTCTAAAAATTTTCTTTAAGAAAAAGGTGGTAATATTAACAGCTTTATTATAACTATGTGTTATTTATAATTTTTAATTAATTAGTATGCTTTTTTCTGAGTGCAAGACCTAATCCCACTAACCCTGGCCATCTTGATCTTCTCTTGCAGATGTCGCCTCAGTGGCGATGCCAGAGAGGGAGGCGTACTTTAATGGCTCCACTTACCTCCGCCTGACCACGCCGATGCCCATTTGGGATCACTCGGCGATTAGTTTCCGCTCGTGCCGCGGCGGCGAAATCCTCGCCCAGCAGTACAACAAGAACTCCATCGTAATCTCAGTGCTCAACGATTTTCTGCAAATATCACTGGCGGGACCCGCGGTCCATGGGCCCAACAATCGCCTGGACGTCAAGTTGCCCTACCAACTGTTGGACAACCGCTGGCATACGCTGCAGTTCAAGTACGAGTACGGAAATCTCTATCTGCATGTGGATCGTGCGGCAAGCATATTTGGTGAGTAACCATATCCCCCTCACTGTCCCAAATTGGATTCCCAGCGGAATGAGCTCCACAGCCCACTCAATTGGGTCAATCGTGGACAAATTTGAAATGTGGCCAAGCACATAGGAATAAATCACGTCACGAGGGTTAAGTAATGCAATTGTGGCCGTTAAATGCGAAGGGGGGAACGAATAACGATGAACTCATTGGAAAATCAATTAAACAATTGTAAAGAATAAGTGCAAAGGCAGGAAAAAAGTTCAGTTTAAATGGTAAACGGTCAAAATTTAAAGAATTTAAAAACATGACTGAAAGGTTATATCAATGCGATGTAGTTGTCTCAACGGTATAGGAAATTAAATAAAAATATAGAAAAGAAATTTGGAAGAGATGGATTAACATAATTTTTGTTCATAAAAGGCCAGTACTAACTTTTAAAGTATTTACATTGGGTTGATCATTAATCATTAGTTCCCCCTTGAAGACCCTTCAATTTAAGCACAGGCCTGTTTTATTTATCTTGATGCATAGATTATAATTTTTAAAGACACTTTTAAATTTTTCTATTGTCCTTAGCCAATTCCACCTACAACAGCCAGTTTCTGACGAACCAGGACATTGGCTACAAGGATGCCATTTTGATACTGGGCAACTCTTTCTCCGGCTGTCTTTTGGATGGACCCGGTCTGCAGTTTGTGAACAACTCCACCGTGCAGAATGTGGTTTTCGGAGTGTGCCCACTGACTCCGGGTCCCTGCAGCGACCATGATCTCTTCACCCGGCTGCCGGAGAACTCCTGTTTGACTGACCCATGCATGGGCCATGGCACCTGCTCGTCCAGTGCCGAGGGCTACGAATGCCGGTGCACGGCCCGCTACTCGGGAAAGAATTGCCAGAAGGACAATGGTTCGCCGTGTGCCAAGAATCCGTGTGAAAATGGTGGCTCCTGCCTGGAGAACTCCCGTGGGGACTACCAGTGCTTCTGTGATCCCAACCACAGTGGCAAGCACTGCGAGACGGAGGTGAACCTCCATCCGCTCTGCCAGACGAATCCCTGCCTGAACAATGGAGCGTGCGTCGTGCTCGGCGGAAGCGCCGGCAACGGTGCAATTGCCTGCGAGTGTCCCAAAGGATATGCGGGTGCCAGGTGCGAGGTGGACACGGATGAGTGTGCCTCGCAGCCGTGCCAGAACAACGGGAGCTGCATCGACCGGATCAATGGGTTCAGCTGCGATTGCAGCGGCACCGGATACAGCGGCGCCTTCTGTCAGACCAATGTGGACGAGTGCGACAAGAATCCGTGCCTGAATGGCGGGAGATGCTTCGATACCTACGGATGGTACACCTGCCAGTGTCTGGACGGCTGGGGCGGTGAGATCTGCGATCGACCCATGACCTGCCAAACGCAGCAGTGTTTGAACGGCGGCACCTGCCTGGACAAGGCCATCGGGTTCCAGTGCCTCTGTCCGCCGGAATACACTGGTGAACTGTGCCAAATCGCTCCCAGCTGCGCCCAGCAGTGTCCCATCGATTCGGAGTGCGTGGGCGGCAAGTGCGTGTGTAAGCCAGGCTCTTCGGGTGAGTTTCACGTTCCATTTGTTTACGGTTTCGGGGATCATTGGGCATTGCATGACTTTTACAATTGACTTTTTATACGCTTTTTTTGGGCTTAACGGTCACTGGTTTTCTCTGGTTAATATTAAACAAAATATAAAACACAAGCTTCCGACTTGGAGCCGCTGACTCCGCTCGAACTGGACGTGCTCGACTCCACGCTGTGCCCCAGCGAAAAGAAGAAGCGCTACATATCGCCCGAGTGGCTCAAGCGCAAGCGTTGTGAACTAAAACTGAGTACGTCGCCAGGGTGGCGGAGTAGCTTGCTAAAAGGGATTTTATAAATATATATATATTTTTTTTATAATATGTAAAACTGCCTTGAAGCTGGACACTACATTACACGTAGTCATCTGCTTATTCGATAATCCCCCACAACCACCACCCACCACCAACACTAACTGTATATATTGCCCGATCTAGTAGCTATAACCTAATGCCTTAAACTTATATTGTACAAAACCACGTTGCGTTTGATGGTTAAAAACGTAGGTCCCATTGGTCATTGCCTGCCAATTGAAACGACACCGACACCTGAACAAGAGCCAACAACAACGACAAGAACCACAGCCATCCCTGTCCCAGCTAGTCCAAACACCCTAACAACAACAACCAAGACACCTCCAATAACAACGGCCAGAGCAACGTTGGCAACAACCACGGCTGGCAAAAAACCACAACAACAGCCACTGCAATCGGCGACCCAACGCTCGGCCTCCCTGAATGCATGTCCCCAAGAAAACTGCTTGAACGGTGGCACCTGCCTGGGCTATAGTGGCAATTATACCTGTATTTGTGCTAGTGGATACACAGGTTTGGCATACATCTGTCCGGGGTTGTCCTAAAAGTGTGCATGTCGACGATGGTCCACTTAAAATAAGTTTAATTTGCATGCGGTTAATGGTCCTAGTTATTGGTGGACTTAAATTGATATTGATTTTGACTAGAGTCCTGCCAGAATCCTTTCTCTCTGTACCTCAGCTGAAGAAACTGAATTAGAAAGAGCGGTTTTATTTTTCTTAACGATAGATCAAAAGTTAAATAAATCACGTAGCAGCCAGATAACCAGTTATCTTAATTCATGTACTCACAATTAATATTAAAAAAACATTTAGATAAAATGGAATAATTATTAACAACCATAAAGCTAAAAAAACCCTTAAGGTAGATATCATGGACAGAATTAAAGGAATTTAATATTAATACTCAAATTCCTTAAATAGGATTCTTCTTATTGGATTCTCACAAGACTCTAGTTTTAAATCGAATATGTCATTACAACTTTTAGTGCAGCCCCAGATAAACTAACTGTAAATATGTAGCAAAGTATAAATAGTTAAACAATTGATATTCGGTAAACACTTGAAAAGAACTTAAGAATAATAAAATAGATTTGTTTAATAAAAATACAAATACTAATATCTGTCCAAAGTTCGGTTATGTACTAATACAAAGCACTATTTTCAGGTTACAACTGTCAAACGAGCACGGGCGATGGTGCGTCTGCCTTGGCCCTGACCCCCATTAACTGCAACGCCACCAATGGCAAGTGTCTGAATGGAGGCACCTGCTCCATGAACGGAACCCACTGCTACTGTGCCCTGGGCTTTTCGGGGGACCGTTGCGAGAAGGCCGAGAACTGCTCGCCGCTCAACTGCCAAGAGCCGATGGTCTGTGTCCAGAACCAGTGCCTCTGTCCGGGCAACAAGGTGTGCAACCAGTGCGCCACCCAGCCCTGCCAGAACGGAGGCGAGTGCGTGGACCTTCCCAACGGAGACTACGAGTGCAAGTGCATGCGCGGATGGACGGGACGGACATGTGGCAACGATGTGGACGAATGTACCGTGCATCCGAAGATCTGCGGCAACGGCATCTGCAAGAACGAGAAGGGATCGTACAAGTGCTACTGCACGCCCGGATTCACCGGCATCCACTGCGATTCCGACGTGGACGAGTGCCTCAGTTTCCCCTGCCTCAATGGAGCCAAGTGCAACAACAAGGTAGGTAGATGGCAGTCGGATGCGGATCCGAAACTGCCTCTTGTGACTGAACATTTATCTGTTACTAAAGTGTAATTAGTTGTTTTTCTTTAAATTCGGAAAGCATCGGATTTTGAGACAAGTGAGTTTTAGTTTTCGTTCGGCTAGCGAACTATGTGATTGTTGCTCTTTTTCTAAAATTGATATTAATTATTTAATCTCTTAAAGAGTATGCTAGTTTAAAAATATTCCCATTAGACATGATTATGATGTGCAAATCTATTAAAATATATTTAAAATAAATAGGCCCTAATTAAAACTTACTTATTAAAAGTTTTAATAATTCCCCATTAAACGCCAATTTTATATTGCCGTTGTGTATCTTTGTTAAATGTGTCCTGTATATATAAACCTTTAGCTTTCCTTATAAACATATGTGTTGAACTTAAATTTATTATATTCTCAAAACACCCATATTAATCCACTATTTGTATCTAGATCAATGCCTACGAATGCGTTTGCCAGCCAGGATATCAAGGCGAGAACTGCGAAGTGGACATCGACGAATGCGTCAGCAATCCCTGCTCGAACGGATCCACCTGCATTGACAGGATCAACAACTTCACCTGCAACTGCATCGCGGGAATGACGGGTCGCATCTGCGACATCGACATCGACGATTGTGTGGGCGATCCCTGCCTGAATGGAGGCCAGTGCATTGACCAGTTGGATGGCTTCCGCTGCGATTGCAGTGGCACGGGCTACGAGGGCGAGAACTGTGAGCTGAACATCGACGAGTGCATCTCGAATCCGTGCACCAATGGGGCCAAGTGCTTGGACCAAGTCAAGGACTACACCTGCGAGTGCCACACGGGCTACAAGGGCAAGAACTGCGAGCAGGACATCAATGAGTGCGAGAGCAATCCCTGCCAGTACAACGGCAACTGTATGGAGCGGTCCAACATGACCATCTACCAGATGAGCCAGAACATGAATCTGCCCTCGGTGTTCAGCCAGCCCTTTAGCTTCGAGAATGCCAGCGGGTAAGTCATCTGGTGTTAGCTCCAACCCGAATCCCTAACTAATCTTATTTACTACTCAGCTACGAGTGCGTCTGTGTTCCAGGCATCATTGGCAAGAACTGTGAGACCAACATAAACGAGTGCGAGAGCAATCCCTGCAGCAAGCATGGAACATGCAACGATGGGGTAAGTAAATCCCGATGATAATAAAATCTTCTATCACAAAGAAAACTTTAAAAACTGACTAATTCCCGTTCAAAAAGTGTTTAAAAAAATGTTTTGAATATTGTTTTACATTTTTGTTATATAAGGTTTTCTTAAATTAAACTTTTGTAATATCTTTAGCTAAAAGTATGGATAATTTATTAAACCAAGCATCTTGTTTACTTAATATTTAACACATCGTTTCTTAACCTTGAGATTTAACATGGGCTTGCTTAACTTTTTCAGATTGGCGCCTACACCTGCGAATGCGAACCCGGCTTTGAGGGCACCCACTGCGAGATCAACATCGATGAATGCGATCGGTATAATCCCTGCCAGAGAGGCACTTGCTATGACCAGATCGACGACTACGACTGCGACTGCGATGCGAACTATGGGGGGAAAAACTGTTCCGTACCACTCAAGGGTTGTGAAACAAATGTAAGTCTTTCAATCGGTATTTTCCATGTTTAAATCAAAATCAAATTGAAATAAAAGCATATGACACTTACCAATGTTTGTTCTCTATTGCAGCCATGTTTGAATGGAGGCGCCTGCCTGCCGTACTTGGTCAATGAGATAGACCATCAATACAACTGCACCTGTGAGAACGGCTTCCAGGGCGACAAGTGCGAGAAGACCACCACCTTGTCCATGGTGGCCACCAGCTTGATTTCGGTGACCACGGAACGCGAGGAGGGCTACGACATTAATCTCCAGTTCAGGACGACGCTGCCCAACGGAGTGCTGGCCTTTGGAACCACCGGCGAAAAGAATGAGCCGGTTAGCTATATTCTGGAGCTGATTAACGGGCGACTGAATCTGCATTCCTCGCTACTGAACAAGTGGGAGGGCGTGTTCATCGGCTCCAAGCTGAACGACAGCAACTGGCACAAGGTGTTCGTGGCCATCAACACATCGCACTTGGTGCTCTCGGCCAACGACGAGCAGGCCATATTCCCGGTGGGCTCCTACGAAACGGCCAACAACAGCCAGCCCTCGTTCCCGCGAACCTATCTCGGCGGCACGATACCCAATCTGAAGTCCTATCTGCGCCATCTCACCCACCAGCCGTCGGCCTTTGTGGGATGCATGCAGGACATCATGGTCAACGGGAAATGGATCTTCCCCGACGTGCAGAGTGCGAACGAGTCGTATACCAAGCTGGAGAATGTCCAGAGCGGATGTCCACGCACGGAGCAATGCAAGCCGAATCCCTGCCATTCGAATGGCGAGTGCACGGATCTGTGGCACACGTTCGCCTGCCACTGTCCCAGACCCTTCTTTGGTCACACTTGTCAGCATAGTAAGCACTATTGGATTAATAGCAGTGTTCCCTGATCTTACAACCTTGTTTTACTTATCAACTTTCTAGATATGACTGCAGCCACTTTTGGCCACGAGAACACCACCCATTCGGCTGTGATTGTGGAGACAACGGACGTGGCTAGGCGCGCAATTCGCTCCATTCTGGACATTTCCATGTTCATCCGAACCCGCGAGCCAACGGGTCAAGTCTTCTACTTGGGCACCGATCCACGCAAGGCACCCACCAAAAGTGAGTTTAATCACATAATGAGAAACATTTAAATTTGGATCGTCTTTCTTAAGATCTTAGGATCTGAAGATAATGTCTAATTAAGACAACTGTAAATATTTTTGTTTGTAAATAAGATGCGTTTATAAGTTCGTTCATATCGCTTTTATGGTTATATTTATTTATTGTCTACTTTATGTACCTAAGAAGTTTAAAGCCAGTTATCTTAATAGTAATGCATACTTGCTTAATAAATACAGATTAACATTATTATTTTTTTTTCCTCCCAACAGATATTGGCGACTCGTATGTGGCGGCCAAACTGCACGGTGGGGAGCTGTTGGTGAAGATGCAGTTCAGCGGTACTCCGGAGGCCTACACCGTCGGTGGCCAGAAGCTGGACAACGGCTATAACCACCTGATCGAGGTGGTGCGCAACCAGACGCTCGTGCAGGTCAAGCTCAATGGCACCGAGTACTTCCGCAAGACGCTGTCGACGACGGGTCTGCTGGACGCACAGGTGCTCTACTTGGGCGGACCTGCACCCACGCGGGAGTCTCTTTTGGGGGCGACCACGGAACCGGGTCCAGTGCCGGCGCCGGGGGCGGGAGTGCCCATCGAGGACACCACCGTGCCCAAGGAGGCGGACGACAGCAGGGACTACTTCAAGGGCATCATCCAGGACGTGAAGGTGAGCAACGGCTCACTCAACCTTATTGTGGAGATGTATTCGCTGAACGTGACGGACGTCCAGGTGAATGCCAAGCCCCTGGGCGCCGTGACCATCGATCGCGCCTCCGTGTTGCCCGGTGAGGTGTCCGACGATCTGTGCCGGAAGAATCCCTGCCGGCACAATGCGGAGTGCAGGAACACATGGAACGACTACAGCTGCAAGTGCCCCAATGGCTACAAGGGCAAGGATTGCCAGGAGATCGAGTTCTGCCAACTGGTTACCTGTCCGGGCCAGAGCGTGTGCCAAAATCTGGACGATGGCTACGAGTGTCTGACCAACATCACGTTTACGGGTCAGGAGCGCTCCCCTCTGGCCTTCTTCTACTTCCAGGAGCCCCCATCCGAGGAGATTGTGGGTGAAGCGACTCCCAAGCAGACCCTTAAACCGGTCATTGATATAGCCTTCCGCACGCGGGCTGGCGGAACTCTGCTGTACATCGACAATGTGGACGGATTCTTTGAGATTGGCGTGAACGGAGGACGAGTGACCATCACCTGGAAGCTTAGTGCCCTGCATTTCGGCGAGTCGGCTCGCTTCGAGAAGGAGAACACGGACGGAGAGTGGAGTCGCATCTACCTGAGGACACACAACAGCAAACTGGAGGGCGGCTGGAAGGGCTGGGAATCGATGGTGGACCCGTCGCCAGCCTTCTCCACGGACATCGACCAGGCGGCCTTCCAGTCCCTGATCGCCTCCAGCACTCAGGTTTACTTGGGCGGCATGCCAGAATCTCGGCAAGCGCGGGGATCCACTTTGTCCGCCCAGCAGGGCTCCCAGTTCAAGGGCTGTGTGGGCGAGGCAAGGGTGGGCGATCTGCTGCTGCCCTACTTCTCCAATGCGGAGCTGTATCCGCGCACTGAGAACGTTTCCGTACAGTTAAAGGCCCAGTTCCGGCTGAACACCACGCGTCCGGAGGAGGGCTGCATCCTGTGCTTCCAGTCGGACTGCAAGAATGCCGGCTTCTGTCAGGCTCCATCGGATGAGTACGCCTGCACCTGCCAGGCTGGATTCGAGGGCGACGATTGCGGCACGGACATCGACGAGTGCCTGAACACGGAGTGCCTGAACAACGGCACCTGCATCAACCAGGTGGCGGCCTTCTATTGCCAGTGCGAGCCCGGATTCGAGGGTCAGCACTGCGAGCAGAACATCGACGAGTGTGCGGACCAGCCCTGCCACAACGGGGGCAACTGCACGGATCTAATCGCTGCGTACTTGTGCGACTGCCCGGAGGACTATATGGGTCCCCAGTGCGACGTGCTCAAGCAGATGACCTGCGAGAACGAGCCCTGCCGGAACGGATCCACCTGCCAGAATGGATTCAGTGAGTATAATGGCCACGTTTCTATTAACATTAACGATTAGAATTAAGGGGCACCTTTACTCTATTTTCAACTGATCTACTTTCTCTTAATAAAGATGGAGCGACTGGCAATAATTTCACCTGCACCTGCGTGCCCGGCTTCGAGGGTCCTCTATGTGACATTCCCTTCTGTGAACTGACGCCATGTGACAATGGCGGTCTCTGCCTGACTACTGGCTTGGTGAGTATCCCGGAAAGGGTATTTCCTTACGAAACACCTAGTTACCCAAACCCTGCCCTTTCAGTCCCCCATGTGCAAGTGCAGCCTCGGCTACACGGGTCGCCTGTGCGAGCAGGACATCAACGAATGCGAGTCGAATCCCTGCCAGAACGATGGTCAGTGCAGGGATCTTGTGGGCAAGTACGAGTGCGACTGCCAGGGCACCGGATTCGAGGGCCTCCGCTGCGAGAATGACATTGACGAGTGCAGCCTGGAGGGCGAGTACTGCGCCGGATTGGGCAGGTGCTTCAACAAACGCGGCTCCTTCCAGTGCATCTGCCAGAAACCCTACTGCGGGCAATACTGCAACTTCACGGATCCCTGCAACGCCTCGGACATCTGCTCCAATGGCGGTCGCTGCGTGGAGTCCTGCGGCGCCAAGCCGGACTACAAATGCGAGTGTCTGGAAGGATTCACGGGCAAAAATTGCACGGTACCGGTGAGTTTATAATCACAATAATATACAAACTGTCAGGTAGCTGAAAATTTAGGACCATCTTCAGAATTTCGAAAAGGCAAACGGAATATTAAACTTTAGTCAGGCTTTTAATTTGAAAGATTTTCAAAATAAAACATTGAAGTTAGTTTGAATTTGTAAATTCAAAATCGAAAATCAAAATACTTAAAATGTTGTAAAAGCTTAAAATGCATGTTCTTTAAATTAGCAAGCTAATACTTCCTACTTCAAAATAGCAAATAGCTTATATACGATTGTTTCTTTATTTCAAATAGGTATAGCTAAAAAGGCTATTAGACCCTTCGTATCGAAGACAACCCTACTCAGACCTGTCTTTAGATTGGAAATAATAAGTCATTTAATTAACTGATCTAAACAACAACAAATCCTAATTATTTTTCAGATCACGGCCAGAGAGGATGGACCTTCGACGACGGACATTGCCATCATTGTCATACCCGTGGTGGTGGTTCTGCTGCTGATCGCGGGAGCCCTGCTGGGCACCTTCCTGGTGATGGCCAGGAACAAGCGTGCCACCAGGGGCACCTACAGCCCCAGCGCCCAGGAGTACTGCAACCCGAGACTGGAAATGGACAACGTGCTGAAGCCACCGCCTGAGGAGCGACTTATTTAGTTTTGAGTTTTGACTTTTGAGTTTTGAGCATCAGCGACGATTGGCAAAGCAAACGAGAGATATTTTTAAATCCGCCCATAAACACCTAGCTGTAGGAGAAACGCAATGTTTTGTTCTAAGTTCGCCCCTAGTTACGGTTTACATCTTAAGGTGCTCAAGGCAACAGCAGCAGCAGTCGCCCCCGATCCCTGCCCACGCTTTAGTTAGTTAATAATAATAATTAATAATGCCGTTGTCTATTTATTCTAGTAGTTTAGATGACAGACGTACCGCCCTATAGTCGTTATGTAGTTACGTTCCGATAGATTAGATTCAGTATTCGATTTCTCGTATATGTAAATCCTAAAGCTGCGAACAAAGTTGAGCTCTGACACCAATTCCCTCCCTCTCCACATTCCGCACGGAAGCCTTTCAAACGTATTGTACGAGTATTCTTGTAAATATATTTGTGCCCATTCCTATACTAAATTAGCTGAGCTAAATCGAATTCAAAAAACTGAAAATCCTATATGCCTATATATACGCCAGTATATATATCAGTAAATGTGGCCTTATAACAAAAAAAAAATAGTAACGAAAAGCAATGACAACCAGAAAGATCATGAGAAACTATTGGTTAAGTAAATCAAATAAAATACATATTTTGCTCTAGAATTTCTAAGCGTAAACTTAAGAGACTGTACTATATAATAAATATTAAATATTTCGACTTTTTTCCAATTGCTTGTCTATTTATTCGCGTTTGCACAACAGGTTTTCCAATACAACTGATGTTCCCCGGCAAAAAACAATAAAATAAAATGATTTCTTTTCCAATTTGTAGCAACTATTGCTAAATTTATTCGTCAACCTTAGCGTGACGTGTACCTTATGGTTTCAATGCAAACAAATCCGCATGAACAACAAACTTTAGTTTTGTTTATCATTTCAGTGAGAGAGCTGCTAATGACTAATATAAAAGTTATTAAATATAAGCAATAGGATGAATGAAAATAAAAATCAAGTTAAATATATAGGTATACAACTCTGTGTATAAAAAAGAAAAAGAAAGTCCAAGCTCGCCTAACCATACAAATTAAAGAGAGTGGTATCGAATATTTGTTGTTAATCGGGAGTCCAGAGTACATTTGCTAAATATCGATTTAATGCATAGTGTGTGTGCTCAACCCAAAGATGCCACCCACTTGAATTTGCTCTGCATTTCCGGATGGTAGAAGATGCACTCCAGCTTGTTCACGCAGTTCTTGCCAAAGCGACAGGGTTTCGGGTGATAAAAGGTGCATCCCAACTTGGAGCAGTTTGGGTAGTACTTGCACATCGTAGTGGCCGTCGTGGAGGTGACTGGTGCTGATATTGACTTGTAGTTCTGCACCGGTATGACGTGAGAGGCTGTCGAAGGGAAAGCGAAGGGACGAATTAGTGGGGGAACTAAGGGGAAGTGGCTATCACTTACAAAGTGGTGGCGCCGCAAGCTGCACATGACTGAGATCCCTTTGGCCGCCGTGAGCGTAATTGCAGTCGATGCTCATGCAGGCCATGTCGAACTTGCACTTTGGATGCGAGTACATGCACTTGTCCGCGAACTTGCAGTTGGGGAAGGACTTGCAGGGCGCCGTCGGGTGGTAGTACTCGCAGAACTGCTTCGTGCAGTTAGGATGGTACTTGCAGCGCTCCTTGGGCTTGCTCACCTTCAGCACGGTGGAATCCACGCTAACGGCGCTTACTAGAAAACAGAACGATACATGATACATGATTTGTTTAATTAAAAATACTCTGTACTTACATGCCGGCAGGTTGTCGTACTTCCTGTCCTCTGCATTGCGAATGGGTACCCTCCGTTTCTCCGGAGCCACTGCATCGCGTTCTGGGCTGCCGGAGCGACGCTTCCGATTTGCACTCGGCGCGTCCTCGTTCTTAAGCGTGAACCGTATGGGCGTGTGCTTGGCTTTGGTAGCTGTAGACGTGGAAGTGGATACACCTGCGGATGCAGCTGCCGCTGGCTCTTCTACTGAATTGGATCTAATGGTCTTCTCCTTGCTGGAGGCTGTCCTATCCGCCCGAGGCTTAGGTTTGGCCGGCAGTGGGGGAGTGGTCGAGCGATCCTCGATCGGAGCTTTAGCCTTATTGTCCTTGTGGCCATTGGCCGAGGTTGTGGCTGTCGTCGCTTGTGGCCGCTTATTGGGCGAACGTTTCTTCGGTGAACCATGCATCTCGTCATCCTCGTCCGTGTCGTTTTTAATTATGATTTTCTTGATCTCTTGCGGCTGCCGGAGTACCTCGTTGCGATTGAGGCTTCGTGTCGTCTGGAGAGAGGGCGAGCCGCTACTCTGTGTTGGCGAGCGCGAGAAGCTTCTGTCCCGATTTGATCGGCGTCGCTTGTCCGCCGTCGTTGACGTGGGCTCGGCGCTGGAGGAGGACACTTGTGGTGTGGACACCGGCGAGGAGGAGCGCCTGCGCGAGTTGCTCGGCCGTTTCCGATAGGACCCTTCCTTGGCGTTGTTTCCGCCCAGCGCTTTATCCCCGTTCAAGGTGACCACAAACTGGGTCTTGAGAGCTCCGGTACTGGGACTCGGCTCATCGTGGGAGCCGATGTGCAAATCCAGCTCATCCACATTGGCCAGCAGCTGCGGCACATACGTTTCGACCTCCCCAGTCCTCAGAGTAGGGGTGTACTCCTCCTCCACCACCTTAATCTCGGCGCGACTTTCATTGGATCGCCGCGCTCGCTTGCCATCCCGCTGAGTTACGTTAACCACCAACTCACGAGTAGTGCGCCGAAAGAGTTCGTTGCCGGGTGCACTCCTCTTGCCACGCTCCTTCTCGCGATCGCGATCCCGATCGTTTTTTTCCAACGATTTGCGCTTGCCCAGCGAACTGCTGGTTACCTTCACCGCCTCCTCGCTCTCCTTCTTCGCGGAAGTCTTGGCCAGAATTGTGGAGCGCTGGGCATCGGCCACGGCTCGCAGCAGAAGGTTCTTGCAGGCTTGCCGCCTGGGGGATACCTGCGGCCGGGGCTTGATCTTGATCACGGAGTTCACCGGCTTGTCGGCCATGTCCTCATCGTCCGACGGCTCTGGCGGCTTGTTCACAGCCACAATTACCCGGGAACCAATGCGTTGTTTGGTGCTCGGAGCCTCTGGACTGGGCGAGCGACGCTGGCGGTGATTGCGGTTGGTGTCCCTGGAGTTGTCACGGCTAGAACGTCGCTCCCGGGAGCGCTCCCGCTGGCTCCGCTCCTTGCTCGCCTCGTGTTCACTGCGTCGCCGATGGGCCGGCACATATAGCTCCTTTTGGCTGCGCTGCAAGCGCTCTGGCGGCAACTGGGCCTTGGAGCCGAGTCGAGCGTGTACGGGTTTCCGCTCAGAACGGTCTTCCTTTAACTTCTCTGCCGATGCCTCCGGTTCGGGAGTCTCTTCCTCCTCCGCCGCCGCCTCCTGGCGAGTGTCAATCTTCGGCTCAGCCTCTTGTCGCTTTTCTGGTGTCTTTTCCCGTCTATTGAAAATAATAGGACTCTTAGCCTTTCGGGGAGGCGCCTTCGTTTGCTGGGTCTCCTCCTCGGCCTCCTGATCCACAGATTCCTCCTGGACACTCAAGTTCAAAAGGTCCTCGTCGTCCTCATCACTCTCGTCCTCGATTTCGCCAATCTGGCGTAAATGCTTCTTAGCTGCTTGGATTTTCTTCTGGATCTCAGCCAGCTCAGCAAGATCCTTCTGTCGATTGACACCACTGGTGGTTGAGCTGATCTCGGACATGGCGGGCAAGTCCAGGTCCCTGCTGGCCAACGCCTCCTCGTCCTCGATGGATTTGCTCTTCTTTTTTTTGTGCAGGATCTCGTCCTTGGCGTTGAGATCAATGTCGAGGGTTTTCTTTGCCTTTTCGAGCAGCTCCTCGGCGAAGACATCGGTGATGGAGCTGATGATGGGCATGGCATCCGCGGAACTGGACTGCGGCTCAGTCAGTTCATCGCCGGACTTGCGATGTGGCCTCTTGTCCTTCCTGGAGCCCTTTTTGTCTTTGTCCTTGACCTTGGCAGCTTCTCCTTGGCCGCGCGACTTCCGCTTCTTACTGGAAGCTAAAATAAAAGATGGTAAATGGGTGCATTAACAAGGAGAGGGTATAATTTTACCACTGGATGTGGGCAGTGTGACCTCTTGTAGCTTCTGTAGCACCTCGTGCAGCCAGGTGACGAAGAGGTCCGTTTGGTCGCCCAGGAAGAGATTTAGCTCCGCGTTCATCTGCTGTTTGGTGCGTTTATTGGCGACCATGACCATCACGTAGTCCGGCAGTTCGTCGTCTATAAAACCGGCTGATCCCCCGGTTCCCAGCTCCAGCAGCTTCGCCTTGACGGCGCTCTATATGCGGGATATAAAAACAATTATTTTTGGGGTATTCATTCAGAGTTATTACGAGTTCATTGATTTTCCGCAGTCACTTACGCGCATCTTCTGTCCAATCTCGCTGCCCAGATTGCACTCCATGTTCGGTTGATGCTCTATCCGTTGCAGTCGTCAGTTTTCGAGCGCATTTATTTATTAACGCCTACTTTTTGCGGTAGATCTATTTTTCGTTACATGAGAAAATGGGAAAATTTCCCCAAATATAATTATCGCAGCTGCTCCGATATCCAAAAATAGTGGTGGGTGGTCAGTACTAGGGGTATTCTTTTCGTAGTCCATACTGTTGGTAAATAATTGTTTTAAAGACTTTGTTTGTGATAAGTAAACTAAACTGGGTGATCCTAAATTTAAGAAAACACAAATTGGGGAAGTTTAAGCTCTGAATAGTGAAATATACAACATTTAACAATAAAAATAGGCCCTGCCATTCGCCCCGGATGTCTACTGAAGTACTCAAAAAATAATCGATACTTAATGCGAATTTAAAAATTTGAAATATTAGTACATATGTAATCTGGGAATATTTATTTTAAGTTTTATTTATGGGTACTAGAAGTCAGTCCTGCAACGTTGAATGAAACCCACAAATGCTGTTTTATATTATATCATTAGGCAGTAAGCTGAATGTAACAATTTTAACTTAATTAATTTTTTTAAAACAACTATTCCCCAGGGACGACATTTAACCCTTTTTTATAAATTTATTTTTTATAATTAAAAACTTATGCTAGAGAACATAGAAAACTACGAATCATCCCTTTGTAAAAGTTTGTTCCCCATCACAAATTCAAATATGAAAATTTTCCGACAGCTCAGCGGAACTACAATCGATAGTCGCCTCGTGAGCGTCGCGCAATCTATCGATACGCCTGCGCGAACCTTCGGGCCGAATAGCACTCAAGTGTCACACGGGAAGAAGAAGCTGCGAAAAGAATTTTAGAAGAAAGCAACTGCAATTTTGTCATAATCGGAGCTGCAATTCGCAATGAAAAATGGAAACTAGTCGGCCCAGTTCCGGTGATGAGATAAAGCCAGGTGCGTACCGTCCGGGGGCGTGGCGAGTGTGTGAAAACGGGCCTCGAATCGCAGCCCCTTGGCTTTCTGCTCGAAGTGTGTGTCTGTGTTTCTCGCCCTTCGAATAGAATGGCTGCGTTTTTGGCTGCGTTTGGCCGTGTGAATTGCACGGGTCCCCTTTGGCCTGATATATTTTCCATATTGGCGACTCCGTGCGAGTCCGTTTCCAACAACTTGTTGCACTAAAACCCGTGAAATTCCCTATCTTGCAGAGCTGTACTTCCTCATCTCCAAGTTCCTGGCTGCGGGGCCGCTGGAGGAAACGGCAAAGGTGGGTGAAAACCAACGCTCTCGGGATCGAGATCCAAAAAAGAGCGCAATTTCGCGACCCGCTTTGTTTACAAACATTTTACTAATTTCGCTTTAATTCTGGTCTATTCCCCCACGTCCATTTTTTAGGTTTTGATTCGGGAACTCGAGGAGAAAAAGGTGAGTTTCGGTGGGGTTGTGCGGGGGATATATAGATTTTTGACCCGACTCGAAAAAGAAGAAAACCGCGTTTGTTTATACGCTTTGTTTTGGTTTTGTTGTTGTTTCTGCTGCCGGCAGCGAGTGACGACAAAGCCCACCAATACGTCCGCTTGTCTGAGAGTTGGAAATCAAACTGAATTGTGGGTTTGCTTGGGCCACGGGATATAGTCTGTAGTCCGTCCAAAAAGAGAAAAACAGAAATTAATAGGGATGCCCCCGCGACGTCATCGACGACGTCACGGAGTGCAAGTGATAACAGGCAGTCTATATATACAAACATATGTACAATACATATATATATATATATATATTCCCATTCCATTTCCAGGTCTTGCCGCGTCGCCTCGACTGGCAGGGAAATGAGCATGAACAGACCTTTGCCGAATTGGTGAGTGTTTCTATAATTTGATTAATTAGCGTTTAAAGTTATCGTTTAATTCCTTTTCTGATCGGCGTAAGTCTTGCGTAAGTGTGTGTCTGCTTGCATTTTCTGTCTCTTTCGTGCGTGCGCCTCTGTGACGTCATCCACGACTGAGGGGATAGAGAAAAAAAGTTGAACATCAAAAATTAGTAACTTGCTTTAAAAACAACATTAAAACTAAAGACATCAATCATTTGCCTTTTAAATTAACAAATTACTAAACATTTATTAACTTAATATGCAAAAAAAAAATATAAAATTAAAAAAACACAAAAAGCGATAGCAAAAATTCCCAAACCCACAAAAAAACATAAATTTTTGAATAACTATTAATTTTTAACAAATGTGTTGTAATTTTAGTCATAACAATTAGTTGCAGCCATCCGACATTTTGCTTTCACACACATATACATGGCTCATGCGCACACACGTACGTGAGCAGCTAGCACTTTGTGGGCGTCAGAGCGAGACAACCATACAGAGCTGCGTTTACCGCTCTGGTTATCGATAGATTGATGGGCGTTAATTTTTGAATTTAAATCCGCAGGAACGAAAGTACAAGCACATTGGCGCCAACCATCTGCTCGAAATATGTGGACGCCTGGGACCACTGGTCGATCGCGACCTGCCTCCCAGTGTGCCGGGAATCAGTTCGCTGCTGGGCACCGGCCGCCAGAATCTCCTGCGCACCGTGGACACCGTCTACTGCCATCGCTCCCTGAAGGATTACTGCACCCGCCTTCATGGAGTTTCTCTGCCGGATTCGCGCCTGACCAAACCCACACACAACTTGGGTGAGTAGCCAAAGGAATATGACAATACACCGTCTTAGAGTTATTATTTTTTGGGCAACTTAGAATGCATTTCTATAGCAACAAAATGTATGTTATATACAAACTGACAGACACACTTTTATTCTTTTAGACCGTGTTCTTATTGGCCGAGAGCATGGCGGAGATGTGCGTCGTAAGCTTCTCGTGCCCACGGACCTTTACCGCCGGACGAAGCTGCTCCGCCGCACAGTGGGCCACCTGTCCTCGGTGTACTGTGTGCTCTTCGACCGCACTGGTCGCTACATCATCACCGGCGCCGATGATCTGCTCATCAAGATCTGGTCCGCGGCAGATGGTCGTCTATTGGCCACTCTGCGCGGCGCCTCCTCCGAGATCACGGACATAGCCATCAACTTGGACAACACAATGCTGGCCGCCGGGTCGCTGGACCACATTCTGAGGGTGTGGGACCTGCAGACCACCTCGCCCATCGCCGTCCTGTCCGCCCACACGGGCATGATAACGTCGGTGAACTTTTGTCCCTCGCCGCGCAGTGATCCCAAGTATCTGGTGACCACGAGCACGGACGGATCCATCGCCTTCTGGCAGTACTCGGCGAAGCGCGGCCAAAAGATTACGTTCGACCCGAGGCCATTTCAGTACCACGAGAAGCTGCGGCCTGGTCAGGCCCAGATGATGTGCACGACTTTTTCACCGGGTGGCATGTTCCTGGCCGCCGGCTCTGCCGATCACCATGTGCGCGTCTACATGATGGGCGAGGATCCGCCGAAACGAATTTTGGAGACGGAGGCCTGCACGGATGCCGTAGACTCCGTGCAGTGGTCGCACCGCGGGCTGAGGTTCATTTCGGGCAGCAAGGATGGCACCGCGCACATCTGGACCTTTGAGTCGCAGCAGTGGAAAAGCGTTAAGCTGTGCATGACGGAACGCCTGGCCAGGTGAGATTCGTTTTAGCAACTTTATACATTAGGGAAAATAAAAGCACTAACCTATATATAACTTTCAGCTGCCCAGAACCAGAGGAGGGCAAGAGGCTTAAGGTCACCATGGTAGCCTGGGATGCCTCGGATCGTTATGTCATCACCGCCGTCAATGATTTTAGCGTAAGTATACTGCAGTCCCCATTTAAACGTCCACTAACAATTGATAATCCCACCGGAAAACAGATAAAAATCTGGGACTCGAAATCAGCCAAGCTGCATCGTGTGCTGCGTGGCCACAGGGATGAGCTTTATGTGCTTGAGTCTAACCCAAGGGATGAGCACGTCCTGCTCTCCGCCGGTCACGATGGCCAGGTGTTTCTGTGGGACATCGAACAGGGCGTCTGCGTTGCTAATTTTTTGAACGACATCGACGGCCAAGGCCATGGCAGTGTGTTCGACGCCAAGTGGTCGCCGGATGGCACGATGATAGCTGCCACCGATTCGCATGGACACATCCTGATCTTTGGCTTGGGTGTGTGCATTGAAAAATACAAAATGGTGAGTTAAATACCTAATGATTGGTGCTCATAAATTAATATATATCAATTAGCTGCCCACTGAGCTGTTCTTTCACACGGATTTCCGGCCACTAATTCGGGATGCCCAGCAGCATGTAGTGGACGAGCAGACGCAGATAATGCCGCATCTAATGCCTCCGCCTTTTCTGGTCGACGCTGATGGCAACCCGCATCCCACCAGGTACCAGCGTTTTGTGCCAGGCCGGGAGAGCTGTAGCTTGGACCAACTGATCCCGAATCTTACGGTGGGCGTGGATGGCGTAGTAGTCGAAGATGGCGGTGCAGCTGGTGATGGCGATATTCCTGTGGTCGCTGCACCCGTTGAACCCCCACCCGCACTTGTGTCCCCAGCTGTGGCCGGAGGAGCAGCTGGAGCCAACTACTCCCACATAGACCGCATGATTGCAGCACTGGCCAATCGACAGTCGGTTAGCGGCAATGCCAACGATGCCAATCCGAGCAATGGCAACCAGTCGTTCGAGCGCCTAACCAATCGTCAACTGCCCGACTCTAATGGCAGGCAATCTTCTCGTGGCAATGTTCTGGGCAGTCGCATGAGCACGCCCCGCCAAGGCTGGGGGGCGCCAGCTGCTCTTCCGGCTGATGAACAGCCGGGACCGTCTCAACCACCGGTAGGGGCACCAGCAGAAGCAGTGCCGGCAGCAGCGCCTGTCCAGGCGGCACAAGCCCAGCAGGTGCTGCCAATCAAGTTCATCCGCCGCACCTATGTGCGTCCCATGAAATACCCCCAGTTGCAGAACCTCAAGCAGACCATTTACTCCGCCGGCCAGTTTGAGAAGCAAGAGTACAAACGCGAGATGCGCCGCCGACCCATCATGATCAACACTGCCAGTGCAGCTTCCTCGCAGCAGGCGGGCAGCGTGGGCAGGCCGCGGAATACCCGTGCCAATGGAGGCGGCTCAAGAGCAGGAAGAAGACGTGGCGCCCAGGCCGGAGCTGCACAACAGCAGCCGGCTT